TCCGTTAAGAATTTAATTCTATCTTATTTGGACAATTTTATGAATCAGATTCGCGATTACTGGCGAGAGATTTAATGATCGCATATTTTGATCTTATTTCATTCCGGTCGATGGCAATTCTTTCTGTTAATGTCGACTTAGAGCTCAGAGTAATTTAGTAATTGATTCTAAGCCCGGCATCTCGCCAATGCCAGGCATACATCTGAGGGTAATATGTTTGCTAATTTTATCCCCCAGAATGAGATTATTATGCTAATCCTCCCCATCCCTTGTCTCTTGGTCACTTGGGATGCTCTGATGCAAAATCATATGATTGAGCTGAAACCTCTCAATACAGAGGTGAAAAGCACAAATACGGATTCCTATGCTAGATAACACGGGCTCTTTCCGGACCGCCATTTTCACCAGCCTACCACATATTGGTGAATTATAGTAATGCTAAGAGACTATTTGGAATAATCTTGTTATTTCTAACAAATAGCGAAGCAAGATAGACTATGGTCAACTCCGTAACCTATAATATCATCACCACTTTAATTACAATTTTCTCCGAGTGACAAACCCCGTGTTACAAATAACTACCTCCTTTTTAAGACCTATTATGCCACTGCGTGCCTTTTGTATTATCTACATATTGTTATGAATCAATTTCAAGTGTATACAAAGTGAATTCAAAGTATACTCTGTAGAATGCAGCATTGTAGTGAAATACGCAATGATTTCGTACAGATTTAGGCAGTTACATTGCACAGAGAAAGAGCTCAGACTAATTGAATTTACTTTTTCCTTCTTTGTCTGGGGCAGATGTCACTTTACATCTGTGCGTCTGTTCAAACGCCCTGTTTCCGTAACCCAAGCAGATGCTACCACAGTAAGACACGCTACAGGAAAGACGGTGACAACTTTGAAAAAATTAAGTTTCAGCGAGACACGTTGAGCTTCATTATTCTAAGAGTACAGGCTACACCCTAATGATTTAAGCAAGACAGCTTCAGTCAAGCGACTGGGTGCTGAAATAAATCTACACCCTATACAGATCGGCTCCATAACAAGGTAAACGTCAAAAACAAAATACCAATTCCCCATAAATTTATTGTCTTATTAAGTTAATTTCCTTATTCGCATACTGAAGTATCTACACATCTCATGTGAGTGATTACGTACCTGTGGGTTTAAGACTCAGGACAGCACCCTCCATTATTATTATTATTATTATTATTATTATTATTATTATTATTATTATTATTATTATTGTTGATGTTGTTGTTGAGATTATGTTGATGATTACGTTTGTTCTCGTTGTTGTTGTTGTTGTTGTTGTTGTTGTTGTTGTTGTTGTTGTTGTTGTTGTTAATTAACGGTTCTATGTTTTAAAATCTACTGATCAAAATATGGATTTTTAAAACAAAACATATTTTGGAGAAAACGGATATCCCAATAATATTTATTTTTCAAGAGAGTATTAATATCTCTGGATTGTATCTCCTCAAAAGTAAAAGAAACGAAACGAAACGAAATGTTTGGATAATTGTGTTTTCAGTGGGGCTTATTGCATTGTTGAACTGCAGGGAAAAAAATATCTGTATGTTGCAGGATTTTTAGATAAAAAAATAGCTCGGTGCTAAATAGAGCTATCAACTAATAAAGCCAGGCGACAGACCTCCGAGGAATATTTAATATTTTATTTTAATCCCCCCGTGTTCTGTGATTTTTTCCCCTTACAATTATTGTTTTGCCTCGGGTGCACCACATAAATTCCGCTGAAGTGAGACGTTATGTTAAACCTGACAAGGCCTTTTTTTGTATTGATACCCCAATACAATGAGATTTTGTTTGTCGTTTTGTTTCCTTGCCTGCTCGCATTCCTCACGTCTTTCAAAGAAATCAGGGACCCTAACATCCATTTTAAAGACAGGGAGTTCCTTTTTTCGGCTTAAAAATGTCCAGTCCCATTGTCTTCGGCTCCCAAACTGAAATTTAGGATCTCCGAAACTCTTATGTCCTGCTTGATGTATTTCGAAAGAAAACGGAATTCATTTACTGGGAATTAGCGGTTAATTTATTTTGTTTTATTGCGCCGCAGTGATTATCTTCACTATGAGATGATGCCCCTTAACACAAAGGCCCTTACATTCTTATTCTTTCCGCCCTGTCATTAACGATATGTTATGAACAAAAATTGTTATAACTGAAAAGCAATAAATGTTTTTCAATAAAACGCCTGTTTTGTAATAAATGTTTTACGTGTAAATGCCTGACTGACAACGGGACTGTTGTTCGCGCATCTCGATATTAACATTTTGATGACCTCTTTTTATCAATTCTGTCCTTTTCTGTTCTGTGTGGAGCCTACCAGTTGATAATGTAAAGAAAGATGTTGAAAATATAAAAGATCTCATATCAATAGCTGGTGGATTCAGACCTCGTAAATCGCACAAAAGAGTCGTTTGAATGAAAAAAACCGATGGCATAGCTATAATTCTATTTGTCTCAGTAGAAAATCAGAAGGGGTTTCTCCGCTCTTTGCTTTTTATTAGATTATTTCTTAGAGATGGCTTCTTTTTTCCTTGCCAGACGCGTGGAGAGAAGCTGCTGGAGCAGTTGGTCTTCAGTTTCAATAATTAAATTAACCATTTGGTACAACTTTTAGCCAGGACTCGCGTGTAGAAAGAAAAACATTAACATAAAGGGGCCGGGATATGTCAAGGAAGAATAAACTTTTCTTGTCATTTATCTTTCTTTCGAGACAAAACAACAACAAACAAAAAAAAAATCGGTAGCTATACAGAACATTAAGTCTTTTGCTTTTGTCGAATAAACTCATGCATTTAAATTATGTCATCCTTTGATCACAGACAGCCCAACCGTGTTTAATTACGCGTTTAAACGAATGATATACGTTTAGGGTGAGGTTTATATTTTGCATCGGAATGCACTTAAAATTCTAGTGTTGTCCACTCTCGCCGTTGAACTAAAAGGTTTTAACACGCCATAAAACATTTTTTTGTGCCTTGACAGATTTTTAATTCCGATATATTATATATGTCTTTACAATAAAATGCGGAAAATATAAAATGAGTAAAATGCGATTAGTCTGCATACGACAATGTATATCGAATAGTTCATTTTCCCGTTTTGTCAGTCCATAACCTCAGGTCACACACACACACAAAACATCGCTAAGAAAACGAAATATCTTTCACCAAAACCATAGATTATTTTCCCGGGGTGTGAATGGAGGTCATTCTAACCTAGGCCAAGTATTCATTTTCATGGTGTAAAAACAGAGATGAATACCTCGGATAATAACTCTCGGATTCACATCTGTCTTTGCTGTTCTTTACGTTCTGTGAGCGCAGACAGATGTTTTTGCATCGCTTTTTTTCATCTGGCCGGGGACCAGGAGACAAGAAACCGTTTAGAGTTGACAATTTGTTTTTCTCTGTCACATGGAGAACATTTATTTTCATTCACTTGTGAACAAAAAGAGGTTATAAATGACCGAGAGCTCTCCTCCTATCCTATCACTTGAGTAAAACAGGCGTAGCAATAAAACTATCAGGAAATATAAAAATTATCTCGAGCACATCTCAACAAGGTAAACGTATTTATTTCTCAGTGTAGGAACACAGGCGCTAAAATAAATATCCGGATGTATTACTTTTTTTCGGACGAGATGGGCAAATGTCATTTTCTGTAGTATCCGTTAAGCTCCTGTCTTAAGCCCGTTTCCCGAAACGAACAAGAGCGAATAATATAAAACTGTTTTAAGCAAATGTAGATGTGAATTTAATCACACTAAAGTCTATTGATAGCAAGGACAACACCAACAAAAGATCGCAGCGTTGCCATAACAAAATTAACCACTTAACTTGGCAAATATCGCAGGCCTAACTGCCCCAATGATGACTTTACGAGTTTGTTACTTTAATTACTGACTTGTTACTGAGCACATAACGGGAGTAATGAATGCAATAAAACTAATTACCTTCGCATTTAAATCATATAAAATATTCTCTATGTGTTTATAGCAAGCGCTCTATGCAAATAAGCTCTAATCGCCAGACTAGTTAAAAACTTCCTAAAGCAAATACCCAGTAAATAACGTTTTCGCTTCATCCTATCACTGATTTATTCTGGACGGTCTCAATTTTTTATTCTTTTATTTTCTGGCATCACCAGAATTTTCTTTTCTCTCACTGCCCAGATTGGATCGCTCTCACGTTTGTAGCTGTCCCAAATAAGACCAGAGAAGGTATAGGAAGTCATTTATTAAGAGTAGATAAACGTTTTATTTAAAAAAAAAACGTACGTGGGTGAGCAAATTATGGCAAATTAAAACTTGTTTGCGCTTCGCTTGCTCGAAATGTTTTCACGTGATCATAAAGCTAACGAAGGGGACGTAATATGGCCTATATTGCTAAAAAATAAAATGTGCTTTCTCCTGTCTGGGCCAGGTGTTTTACAAAAGGCCAGTCTTCTTAGAGACACAGAAGAAAAAAAAACTCTTAGCCCTCTCATGCTATTGTAAGGGCTCTCCAGGTCCTAGCACTGTCCAGGGCTTTCAAGCCATTTCACGCGCTTCGGGGGGTAGGCTTGTTGTTAAATTGAGCGTGTAACATTCTTACAAGAAAGCTATACTATGACACCAGCTTCCTCTCGTAGCCAAGGGAGAGAAAAAAAAGAGAGAAAAAAGCGAAGGGGAAAAATACTATCTAAATTTGTGCCCAAGGTATATGATCAGTTAAAAGGCTTAAAAGCTTGGGGAAAATTGGATCAGGGAGAATCGTCACCCAACTTTCATTATTTCCAAGTGGTGTGATTGAATTAAAGGGCAAGGAGATGGTTAGGAGAGAGGATGGAGGGGGCTCGCTGCGTAATGGCGTGGTATTAAATTCTAATTAGAGATGCAGGAATCAATGATAGGGAGGTTGGACAGCTCAGTCCCCCAGTGCCAGCCCAATAGACTGATGAGTTATTGTCATGTAAAAAGCGCCAGCAATAAGACCAACCGCTTTGCTATTGTCCAAGTGGAAAGAGCCAAGTTTATTATGAGGACTATATGCTCTAGAGACCTCAGGCAAGGCTGCTCATAGGAGGCTTTTCATAAAACAAGGCTCTGCCCGTATAAAGGAGGCCAGTTTTGAATCAGGCGCTGAGCAGTACACATCTACTCACCGTCTCGGCACCTTCGCCCGCCGCCTCCCCATCGCCTTTTTCTTTTTCCGCTTTTGGTGCAACGTTTCCTCGAGCCTTTTCAATGTATAAAATGGAGTATTCTTACCTCAATTCCTCTGCCTACGAGTCGTGTATGGCTGGGATGGACACTTCGAGCCTGGCGTCAGCCTATGCGGACTTCAGCTCCTGCAGCCAAGCCAGTGGGTTTCAGTATAATCCTATAAGGACCACTTTCGGGGCTACCTCGGGATGCCCTTCCCTGACTCCCGGGTCGTGTAGTCTTGGGACGCTCAGAGACCACCAGAGCAGCCCGTACGCAGCAGGTAAGAGTCTCCAGCCTTCTTGGGTGCAGTCGAGCGTCTTCGCCGGTATATAGGAAGCCTTGATTACATTTGAAAATGGAAATGTGTTTAGTATTTACCAAACGAAATTTGCTTACACAAATGAAAGAATTTATCACGTTAGAAGCGATTGCAGGCAAGAGGTAATTCAGTTACAGGGTTACACTATCCTAGTCACACCCGAACCGCCAACAAAATTATCTTAAGCTGCCAAAATGATAGGCATAATTTATTTACTTTGCGATGAGACGTAAAGCTTAGAAAATAATTAAATAACCAAAGACTAAGGCTCATTATTGGCACTGCTTTTAAGTTACAGAAGCAACGACCGAAAACGATGACGAATATTATTACCGATTTGCAAACTTTTTTAGGAACAAATTCTGAAGAAACAACTATATGATACAGTATACTTAATTGATTCATCAAGGTGGTGAGATGTATGCAGAGCATCTACAGAAGAAGGAATAAAATCCGATTTAAAAAGGTTGTTCGAAGAAACGCGATGCTCAGAAAATACCTTTACTGAAAGGCTACGTTTATTTGCAACGGTGTTTTCTTCTAATGTAACATTTTTTTTTAAAAAAAAAAGGTTAGATTTTCATTCTTTTTTTTTCTAAAACCTGGAATTCATACTGCAGGTGTACCGCATGATCACATTTAACTATCTTCCTGTGGTAGTCTTTCTTGAACTGGGTGTTTGGTTTCATTTTCAAAGTGACCTTTTCTTCCAAACATTTCAGACATTTTAGGCGTTATGTTGACCATATCAGCAACTCCTTAATTGTTATTATTCTTAACTTTCAGTTTATTTCAATTCTTCTTCAGTTCCCTACAAGCTCTTCACTGACCACGGAGGCTTAAACGAGAAGAGAAAGCAGAGGCGCATCCGAACTACTTTCACCAGCGCTCAGCTGAAGGAGCTGGAGAGAGTTTTTGCCGAGACCCACTACCCTGACATCTACACCAGAGAGGAGCTGGCGCTGAAAATTGACCTCACGGAAGCTCGAGTCCAGGTTTGTTCTCCCTGGGCTGCATAGTGGGATAACGAGGAAGCCGGTGTGCGATTTGTTTTTTAACATTAGGCGAACGCTCATGGTTTGCTCAGCTTGCAATGAAAACCATTGATGTTAATGATGTCAAAAAATGTAAATGAATTATTTAATGTAAACCTTTTATATAGTAAGCCACCTTGGATAAGGGCGTAACGCATAATAATAATAATAATAATAATAATAATAATAATAATAAAGTAATGGTATTCGATACCATTATCTTTAAAACATTCCTTTACACGCTCTTGTCACAGTTTGTGGTTCTGATGGTGGTGGTAGTAGTGGTAATTTTATGCGATTAACCATGTATCATACTGCATGAAAACGAATCTCACCTTGCCTCTCAACATTTGGACATAGTTTGCATGGACTAAGAAAATTACATTTTTTTTATTCTTTTTGCGTTAGCAACAAATCATCGAGCTACTCCCACTTTGATTTTAGCTTCTTGTTTCTTGTAAATATCCTCACTCATTTGGGCCGTTATTATAAAATTAATGGAAATGCAAGTGTTCAATGGGACATCTTCAAATACCTTTCTTTCAGACGATTGCCAGGAAGAAAAAAAAATAGAGCCTTGTGTTTGAGATGGGGTTTCATTATTATTAGGACTTACATTACTTATTATGACTGTTTAATCCAAAATAATTAAACAATTCATTAACGCTTATTGTAAGGTATTGTCATCATATTTAACAAAATTCTTGGCGTGGTATTTATCAATTAAATCTGATCATTCACCATTCATCAAGGTGGTGGCACGGTCATGTTGCTTTCACTTTCGCCAAACGGGTCCCTTTTTCAGTCAGAAGAAGATATCGATGGCATTGCTTGTTGCTTGTGAATTTGTAAATGTGAATCTCACTTCTCCTCTCCTTCCTCCTTCTCCCCTCTCTCGCTCCGTCAGGTTTGGTTCCAGAACCGTCGCGCCAAGTTCCGCAAACAGGAGCGGGCAGCAGCTGCGGCCGCCGCCGCCGCCAAAAACGGTTCCTCGGGCAAGAAATCCGACTCCAGGGAAGACGAGAGCAAAGAGCCAAAAGCGACCGACCCCGACAGCACAGGAGGTCCTGGCCCCAACCCCAATCCCACCCCTAGCTGTGGAGGGCCCAGTCCGACTGGGGGACAGGGAAATACCGGGGGCAACGGGGCAGTCGAACAAGTTAAATCTTCCGGAGCAGCTGGCCTGGGCGGGGGAGCTCCCGGTCAGGGCTGGGCGTCCGCCCCGGGCACAATCACCTCCATTCCTGACTCGTTAGGTGGACCGTTCGCCAGCGTACTGTCGTCTCTTCAAAGACCGAACGGAACCAAAGCTACTTTAGTAAAAAGCAGCATGTTCTGAATGAGCTACGCGAACGTTTTACACACCACGTATCATTGTACCTGTCGACTAAGTGACCCACGCAAGAGGGATATGCCAAAATCCGGGAGCTCTTCCTCTTTTGTTTTTTAAAAAGGGAAACTTTAGCATCAGGAAGACCCGTTAACGGGCTGGCACGAATGTCAGCGGCAGACACTATGCTTCAGTTCAGAAAAGAAACTGGTTATGAACTACAGTGAAGCGAACCAGTGACCTGGCTGACATTAGACTTCGTGTAGAAGAGACTTTTTCTTGGGGGGACGGGGTGAGGTTAACGCCAGCACTTGTGTTGATTTTGTTAGGAATATTGGCTGTGACACGGTGATCTACTTACTGGTGCCAGATTGTTTCTTGATAGTTTTTTATACATCTGTAAAATAGAACATGGTTTTTATTCATTTAGATTTGCGTTTTTCATGGTTGTCGACATCTCCCTGTAATATGGCATTTGGAGAACTTTCATCAAAAAGACGGGACAACCGCAAAAGCTGACGTCGGAAGTGCAAAAGTCCTTTATTCAATGGGATTGCTTATTTTGTAACGTAACACGTAGCCACAATCTGTCCGGTAGAACATGTGTAAAATATCCACCGTTTCACGGTTTTTTGAAAACTTTTATTTTATTACTGTTATTTTTATTTTCCCAAAGGCACAAAGAAAAAAAATGTCACTACTGACAGGAATACGTAAACGTTTTTGTGTGTCTTTCTACAGCTGTGTTGTGTGACTCGATTGTATAGTGTTAATATAAGTATAAAATTGTCTACTATAGTTGATCCTAGAAAATGTTTACCCTCGTAGTTTATGGAGAGTCTTTATGAAATTTTACAGGTCATCACGGGTTCATTTCTTTTGAAGCAAATCGGACTCAAACATGGTATTTATTTTTATCATTCGCATGTTACTCTTCATTTTCTGTCGACTTCTCGCGTTTTGTTCTTTTTTTGGTGAACATAATCTCATGTTTTGTTCAGGATTTGAAAATTATTTATATGTAGGTATAATGAATGCTTATATTTAAAAAGGAAATATTTCTACATGTGCATATAGTTTTCCAGAAGTGTACCATTAACTTGGTTGTTAATAATAAAATGATCAGCAAAGTAACACGAAGTGTATTTTCTGTCGAGCCCTGCGGTGAAGGGTCGCTGTCAGTTTGTCGTGATATGTTCCTTCACAATTTGAAATTTAAAGAAATCGACCTAAACACCAAAATTTTCCATTCTGCCAGTCAGAAACCACACTAGAATTTAATACCCCACAATTTCACAGCTAAAAGACGCTATTAAAAGCCCCTTTATTTACAAAAATGTCGAATATTTTATACAGCCACCATTATCTCCCTATCCATATCTTCTATTCGATATTTAAAATTAAATAAGGTACCTTAAGTAAACAATTCATTACAATAAATTAATTTTGTCTTTGTACAATTTGGTCATTCCCCAGTTCTGGAATATTTTATGTAAAATAAAACAATTACTATTCATTAATATTTCTTAACTTTCATGGAAAAACAATACCCTACCCATCATAATTTTTCATAGTACAATCCATTGTGATTGAGTCGTCAAGAACACGAAGACGTAAAAACAAATTTATGTAAAAAAACAATTGAAAAAAATATCTGACAGCTCATATTAACAACAAACTTAAATTTTAACCGACAATTTTCAACGAAGTACACAATTTAAAAATAGCTCAAACTTTGCCTAAAATTATTTCCTTGTAGAGACCATTGTTTTTAAGTGTCAAGTAAAACATCATTCGTTAGCTGAAACGGACAGGAAAACAAATTCTTTATTCCAAATCGAATATTTATCGATGATATAATCGACTATAGTTATGCTTTCGTGAAAGCGAAATACTGCATTATTTCAAAGGAAATAACATGCTCTCTTAATCCTCAATTCTTGTACGTCAATCTTTATATAAAAGCTTTTGTATTTATAGTTTTATATATGATCCTTTTAAATAATACATAACTTTTAAAACGATTGTGCTTAATATTGGGTTTAATAACCACACCTATAAAACCAAGGTGCATTTTCAAGAAGAAAATATTGCCATTAAGTAAATATTATTATATATTACATATTATATATTATATATATTAAATATTGCCCCAAACCCAAGGTTTATAGATTATAGACATGACCTTCAATTAGATATGTTTCATTCAGTTACCCATATCAACATAGCAATAAGATCATTAAGTCTCTTTCGCTGTTCTCTTAACGCAAAATGTAATAATTCTCCACGGGATAGAAACCAATGTAGCCTGAAAGCACTTTTTTACTCAATAGATAGACCTATACTAAATACAAAATTATATTGCCTAGGTGTTAGCGAATTCCATTCATCTTTTTTTTCCCTGGAAACATATCTAGTTTAGCTTATTTAATAAAATGAAGCATATGAAATAGGCAATTTGCATCAAATGATCAAATGTAAAATCATTCTAAAAATGGTTTATTTTCTATTATTTAAGTTCGACATTTCTAAATATCCTTTTAAGACTGCTTTACACTAGGGTGCCCTCTTCGGGCTATCGCTCATAACCGCGTCAACGCTGTGCAGTATTAATTTTTACATTTGAGTATTAAAAAAGTAGACCCACAATCAGACTCGAGACATTACTAAATACAGTGTTGAAAACAATTTTACATCTACCGGACATCGGAACAATACCTTAGAGGTCTTGTAAATTGAAGAGTGTTTTTTAGGCAGATAGATTTCAGAACCTTGGACAGAGCACTTTAAACGAGCGACACGATTAACCCGAAACAAATCGTAGTTTAAATCATTACTACATGACTACTAACACAGCGGTTACAAAGCTGATACAGATTCTATTAATATCTGCCTATATCTTGCTAAAATCCTGTCAGACCTGAACTATTCGCTTTATTGGGGAGGAGTTTCTTTTTAAAGAACGCATCTTTGAACCCAGCAAAAATCTCTAGCCTTCATAGTACACTTAAAGAAGTACGTGACAAAAGTTTGCATTCCACCTCAAAGGGAAATAGCCATACTGTAGCTATAATTCTCGTAAGACTGCTTTGAAAGTGCAGATACTGACTCTACTGTAGGTCTGTTACTATTTCTATTCAATAGTTTTCAATTTCATTTAGGCAGACTCAGTGCTGTCCAATTACTGTATATGGGAGAGCGTTATCGTACGAACAAAACCATCCGCCGGGGACCTTTCCCGTGTTTTTCAGTCTGACCAGCACTATAGAAAAATATTTACTTCTGTTGTTTTGTGTCAATCTGAATTGACATTAAGAGTAGCCTCGCATACACCACCGGTGGCAAACCTGTGTACCTGCACCTATACTTACTGTAGGTGTTCCTCTACGGCACATCCGGAGCTGGACCGCCTGCTAGGAACATGTAAATGGATGCGTTTGTTGCATATAAAATACCCCCGTTTTTTAAAGGCGCAGGCGTGTCGCTTCAATGCGCTGATGGACCAGAGGTACAAATAGCCTCGACCTTGATCACCGCTAACCAAAAGTCCTGTAGAGAGTTAACCAACCCCACATTCTAACGCATTTGTTTTCGTTCATGAACATGCTACGGGAAATGGCGATTTTCCCACGCCCACCTTATTCCGCGCATTTTCAAAGCAGATCTTAAACCCTAAATTTGTATAAACGTCACACTGAAAACAAAAATTAAAAAAGGGTGGTATGGTTTCAAATAATTATAAACACAACAATTTTAAACATTTTATTTATAAACATACATTTGCTATAAAAGCCACTGCATTTAAACATTTCTTCAATCTATTAATGTTCTTTTTTTTTCTCTCAGAGGAATATCACAATAAATATAGAACTTAAACACAAGTATCATTCCGTTTCATTTTTCACTTCCTCGGTCACACCCCACCCAAAGACATTTCACCGTGTTGTATGTCAGCAGGCCCCTCCCACACACTCAACTCACACCTGTGTTCGACCTAAGCAAACATAACGATACACAGACCGGTACTGTAGTTTAGGAATACTGCATATTTGTCAAAACAAACTGTGTATAGCTAAATAAACTGAATGTGTCGTAACTGCAAGCTGCGTCAATTTAGGGCTAAATTCGAAGACAACTGCCAATATCATATTTCTGGAGAACGGGCATAGCTTAGAAAAGCAGCCTCACCTGAGCCATGTCAAAAAGAGCTGGCGCAGGGAGAGGGTGGAATAAATTGGCAGCTGTGAGCACCAAAGTGCTAAACTGTGTTCCGTCTGGGGAACTAAACAGTTTATGGACTAGGAGGTTTTATGCTGGTGAAGCTGTGCTTCTGATTTAATAACATATATGCACACTCACCCACTTAAGGACAACAGCAGGAAGCATCTTGCGGTTTAAAAAAAAAAGGCTACAGGGCGAACATAGGACGCACTCTTAATTGTACATATCTTTTCCATGTGACAAAGTGGTACAAAAGACCTTTTAAGCGTATAGATACAAACACTTCCGTCTGAAAATACCCACTGCGGGTCGGCTCTGAAGGCTCTGTGCTGGGAAGAAAAACGCTGAAGTTGTAAAAGGAAAGCAAAAACTATCCGTACAAAAATACAAGAGTGAACCTTTCCTTCAGCAAAATCCTCCCAATCCATCTGAAGCCTTCCAGAAAACACAACTCCTTCTAGGCCCTTATGCTTCAAGAGAGAAGCCTTTAGTTCTCGGGTGCTAAGAGGATGACATCTTTGGAATCACCTGAGAGACTCAACCATTTGACAACGTGCAACCACTTGTTTCTAAGGCACAGGTTCAATGCAATGACATCAAGATCAAGTATGCATGAGTTTCTAACCGAAAAGAAAAATAAACCAGTTTTGGATCAACATACAAAAACCTATACAGGATTATTTCTGCAGAAGCCACCAGCTAACATGCGCAGCCCCTAAGGCTTAGATCAAATACGGCTAACTTAGTTATAATCTATTGTCTGAACACAGAAAACAAAAACAAGCCTTTCAGCTAGGTTTGACACAGAAAAACAACTGTGGAGGAATAACTGTCTGTTCTAAATATTAACCCAAACCATGTGTGAGCTGCCTTTGCAAAACGCTTTTAAGGCAGATTACTAATAACAAACCAGGTTCACAAGCAAACTTATTCCAGAAAAAGAGATTAACTGGGTTCTGATATTGGGGGGGGAAGTGTCACATGATTCCTCACGTTCTCAGGTTCTGGAAATGGTAAATGCCACAGTTGCGCGCTAAATCAAAACTGCTTAATTTCATGAAGTAAAACGCAGGACTGCGGCTGCAGTAAAAGAGGAGAATTAAGGCATTGCATGGTTATATCGACACAAACCCCCTTCCCTCAAATAGTTTGTTTGCTTTTCTTGTTAAATGCTTGATCAGTGGGTAGGGGTTCAAAAGACATTTTCTTCACTCCATCTGTCTGAAAAAGCCTAATTGTATTACTTGCTTACCCTTGCTCTGGTTAGTATGTTCCAGTCATATACTGAAATACTGAAATGTCAGTCACTTTAGCCACTATTAGTTTTAAGTCTCAGTCCTATGGATCCAACAGGATGCTTCAGGTTTGCTGGAGTCAAGCTGTGAGGATCACACCGCCTGGTCTCCAGAATGGAAGAGACCACCCATGCCAAGAGCTTTAAGTTAAGGTGCAGTAATTAGGCTGAACAGTCAGTGGACACAAAACATCTTGATTGCTTCTGTAAATCATATCGCTTCACTCCAGGATATGCAAATCGGGATTAAAATGCCAGTGAAAGTGCTCTCCCAGTCACGTTACTTGTTAACCAATTTCTTCTTTTTTTTTTTGCTCCATTTTTTAGTCAGTTTATCACGATTAAGAATGATCAGTCTTTTAAAACTGCACATATATTTACGGATGTTTGGTGGAGTTACGTAGTTATTGCATTGGTGGGTTCCGGCATATATACAGCAAAAACCATGAAGGCCGACTCTAGAAACGGGCATTTCTTTAAAAAAAAACTGTTGTGAAAAAGTGTTGTTCAGTGGGGAATCAGCAGAAGAGAAATGTAAAATGAACAGCCAGCTAATTTATCGTTGGATGGGTAGAGGGAAAACCAAACATCTTTTCACTGGAAGCTCTGTTTTGAAGCCTTTTATCCCCCGTGTGAAACTGAATGTCCAGATGATACGATGAGGTTCTTCACAGAGGACACTCCTCGCAAGGCGTCCTGTTACTGGACACAGTCTGGACAAGCAGGTGTCGACCAATGAAGCATTCTTTAACCGATATCGCAATTTGGGATTGTTAGGTGCATCACAAAGTTGTTGGCTGCCCAGCTGCTGAAAGCAGAACAAGAAAGAAGACATTAAAATCACCAATCAACAGGCAGCTGAATAAACGCCTTCCCAGCATCATTTTAAAGTAACTGGCTGGAATAAAGTACATAGAGTGAGTATGCAGCATCGAGAGGAATTATACCTCATCTTTTATAGGAAGGCTTATGGTTCATATTCTGCAATGACGACTCCCCCCCCACACACAAAATTTACAGCAAAGCAAGGAAAGACTCCCCTCACACAAAATTTACAGCAGAGGAAGGAGAGTGTGTATGTGTGAGGCGTGGCTGAAGAGTTTAAATGGTTCAACAAGAAAACTTCTTAATGCTGGTAAGGATTGCAGCAACACAGAGCCTATTCTGGAAATATAGCAGGCAAGACAGAACTACCCTGAGCTGGGATATCAGTCTAATGCAGTGGTCACACACCTATTGTATAGGGGAAAATAAGAGACACCAATCAACCTAGCTAGCATATTTTTGGATGACAGGTGACCACCAGTGCAGGCACAGGCAACGTGCAAACCCAGGAAACAAAAGAGAGTGAGGTTATAGTGCTAACAAGCACTACTCTTGGAAGCAGAATATGACTCTCCACTGACAAAGGAGATTAGTGGAAAACGAGCCAACCTATGCCTTTACTTCCCCTTTCATTAGAGGACTCCAGTCCAGCTGGAACTATTTTCAATTAATCGACCTTTAACTAATTGACTTTGATGGCAAAGATGAATGGAATAGTTCTGGACAAAGATCTAGGCAGAGCTATAAGAAGCCAGTTCGGGCTCTGCACAGCGCAGACCACGCTGAAGGGGAGGTGTGCACTCACTGCGGGATCGGATGTAGCACTCGTTGCAGTTCAGGAGTCCATTACGGATCCGCACGTCCGTTCCTGTGGTTGTGTCTCCCAGCTGCCCCTTGCAGATGCCACACTAAGGGAGAGGAGATCAGAACGGAGTTGCTAAAGAGAGTTAGCTGCTTCCAGGAGGCCTGATAGAATTGCTCAACTCTTCTGAGTTGATGAAAACACAGCGGAACTTTGTTCAGCTAATGTAAGATACATGGGTGCCAACAATTTACCCCACAACTGTAAAAAAAAAAAAAAGAGCTTAGCAATTTCTGATTGTCTCAGGTTGACCTGCAATGTGACAATGTAAAAAAAAAAATCAACAAGACTTTTGACAAAGCCTTAACACCCCAAAAGTGCTCCCTTCCCCTTAACAGTCAAAAATGTTTTTGATGTATAAAACAAACCTGAAAAACCAAAATCAGTCTGAGCTAAAGGGTTATATTTTCTAGAATAAAATGCAGAGTTTGAAACACCTTACTGTGCTTTGGAAAATTATTCATCCCCACTCTGCAAGGTTTTCACATTTTGTTGACGTCTTAGCATGCAGTTGGAACGCCTTCAAATAGGGCTTTATAGTTAGAATCCACACTACTACAAACCAGTAAAGCTACAAAAAACATGAATGTCAGCTATTAATCAGCAGGGACCTAGAGATGAAAAGCATCTGGAGTTGACTGATTACCAAACAAAGCACAGGGGAATCCTAGGACAACCTGAATGAGTCACCAAGCAATCGGCAACTAAAAATTGAAACTTTACAGCCAGAGACCCAAAGCACAAACTGAAAGCTACTGGAATGGTTTGACAAAAAGAGTGCTCATGTTCTCAAGAGGCCCAATCTAAGTCCTGAGTGAAAATAAATGAGGAGACTGGAGATTGCAGTCCATCAACAACTCCCGATGAGCCTGTAAGAACTGGACGCATTTTGTCAGGAAGAAATGGGCAGTGCACAAAGCTGGTAGAGACCTATCCCAAAACCTAACAGCAGTAACTGCTGACATTTGCAAGGCATTTCCATGACTTATGGACTTAAGACTAATTTTGACTTGGACTTAAATACTTAATAAATGAGTATTTTTCATTTCTTAAATCCTCTTGGGAGGTTTTGCCGATATTTACGTTCCTTCACATATCTGTGCCCCAACCTTCTCCTTACAGTTTTAAATAAAAACGGTCTGGACCTGTCCCGATATTGGTAGGGGCGTGAAGACGTTTGCCGACTATGTCGAGCTACAGAAAAGCAGTATTAAGGGGTTTGGTGAGGCGATGCCCAGGCTACAGTTATGTGAACAAACTGGCTCAGGTTGGCTGGGAATGGGGTCAGACTAGCCGTCACAGAGATGACTGACCTTGAAACACTGGATGTGGAAGTAGAGGCTGAGGGTTTCAATGATCATGGCAGCACCTTTGCCAAGAGGGTGTCCACAGCTGGAGCACAGCTTCTTCCCGCTGACAGACCTGGCAAGAACGAGCAGATTCAGATTACGCTCCGATTGTACATAGCAAAGATGGTTCCCCCATGATCCTCTAGGGCCCATCAACAGAGCTGGCTTCAGATCCCGGCCTTGTTTACATTACAGCTACAACACTTCGGTTGAGGTGAAATGAGAATCACAAGGACGTTTCTGATAGGGGAAGAGATGTGGAAAACATTTCACGACAACTCCAGGAAATTCAGAAAACATCCTGCAGATATTCAAAAACATATATTCACTTTGTTTTTCACAAAGCAACAAAAAAAAAAAACGTGCACAAAAAAGACACAGAGGCGCTCGCGGAGAAAAAATCCAAAAAGAAAAACAAAAAAAAAAAATGCGCTCTCGCGCTAGCGATATAAAAAAAAACAGAAGAGAGGGGGGGGGGGAGAGGGGGGGAGAGGATGAGTAACTAACTTCAGTAATTCCCCGATCTCCATAAATATGTAAATTACGGAAAGAAATTAAAGCCCATTATAAAACCAACATAGTGAAAACAAAAAAAGTACTGATTAAGAAAGGAAAAAAAAAACTGCGTACAAAACAAACCTTAAACTAATGAGGCCCAAACTGAGCAGATGGAAATGAGAGGCTGCTATGCACAATAAACAGGAGCATCTCAGATCCATTGGAACACTAGCCTGAAGGCTCTGTCCTCTCAACCAGCAATGCAGACGATGCACTTACAGTGCTAGAATTATGATTCTCATTTGCTTACTTTCAAAGAAAGAGCAACATATTTCACCAAAGATCTCGATGTGTACAGGCCATATTGCTTTCAGAGCACACAAAATGCTGATCACTTGACCCCATCTTCTTCTCAGACTGATGCTGCAGTGCTATTTTGTATCAGTCTTAATTTCAGAGGCAGGCAGTCAGGTTTTTCTGCATCAGCAGAGGTTGTGCAAACTTGCATGGCACGACAAATTGTTTTTAAGCATATAAGGATGAAGACATGAACATTTGGTTTGCATCTAAACCAAAACCGATTTCTAGAAAAAAACTTCTTTAAAAAAAAACTGCTCAACTAGGTCCTAATGCTAATGTTGGAAAACTACAGGAAGAACCCCAGCGAGCTACTGGAACATAATTATGTTTTTAGCAAGCGATTTAAAAAAAATGGTACTTATTTGTAAGTGTCTTCAGGGCTCAGACAGGCACCTTGAAATCAAATGTTTTTCAGTGTTTTTGCTTTTAACGTATTGTAATGAGAGCACAGGTATTGTTTTTACCGTGGCATCTATACACTTTGTATTTTCTGCGTACCTTTGTTGTTCTTTTCTTTCCATGGTTGTTAGTACCTGTGCTGCATTTTATTTTCTGTATAAATATTGTATAAGAATTATAACAAAAACACTATTGAAAACAAGATGATGAACCTTAAGAGCTTGAATACTGTCAAATTTTACAGGGTGCAGGTAAAAGAGTGCAGAAAATGTTGGGAAATTACTAAAAAAAACTATCATTTGATCATAATGTACTGTATAAGAAACACTTCCATTCTTTTCATGACACCAGCCCTACACTAGGTTTTTCTGAAAAGTAGGTGATTTCTTAATAAACTATAAGAATACTGCTACAAATAAATGTGTGCTTTTTTTCTTTCATATTATATAAAGCTACACAATAATCAAAACTGTGCGATGAAAAAAGCCAATATGCAATTTGCATGTGTTCAGTAAGCCTAATACTAAAACTTTCACACTAGTCCCTGTAGTTGTTTTAATTCTTCATTGGTAATATACTCTTGCCCTTTTGATATACCCAAGGTAAAAATGGTGTCAACATCAACAGAATAACCCATTTTATACTGCATTTCTGGTTTTTAATGGATAAAAACCAACTTGACTGACAAGCCCTACTCATCAGCTTCTAAAAAACAAACATGCAAGACCAATAAAATGAAAAGTAGTCATCTACTCAGTCATCTACTCAAAGTCATGTTTTTTACCATCTTTGACCAAAACCAAATATAAGGACCTTTCTCAGTCACCTATTTACATAGCAGATGTAGTGTTATGATCCAGTGTCCAGTCGAATGGATACATTCAGAGCCGAAGAAAAAGTAGTTTTATTATCCCAGCAGTCAGAGAGCAAGTCACTGTGCAGGTCCAGGCTTGAAAACGACACACAGATGAACTGCAGCAACACATGAGACTCTTCCGTACCTGTTAGGTGATTGGGGCTGAGGGCTGGATGAGCATGAGGATGACTTAGATGGATTTAATCCTAAATTTTCAAAGGATCCAGACCTAAGAAACACAAAACTGTGATTAACTAAAGGGCAGTCAATGCAAACACAGCATGGAAGCCTGCAGTAAACCACACAGGTGATCAAGATCCAGGAATGCAATGGACCTGGTAGCTGCTTCAATCACCATGCTGATCAATCCATCAGGCGTGTGAAGGTTTAACAGAGTCAGACACGAGTGAAATATACAACTGACAAGCTGAACACTAAAAGCACGTCCTTACAACACCATGTAGCTATAGAATATATAGTCACCTCTATCCTGTAGAGCTATACATAAAGAATATAGTAGTGCCAAATGTATATAAAGCAATAGAAGAATTATGACACTTGAACAGATACTCCCTGCCTTTTCTATAATTGACTCTCTCAAGCGAGAGTTTATGTATACACATACGGTTTTAAATCCTCTTGGATACGCGAGTATCCTGACTCCTAATGAGGCAAAAAAAAAAAAACAACCCTCCTTGAATGAGTTGCACACCGTGTATATTTTCTCTGGAAAATGTGTACAGGTAAGTCACGGGAGAACTGTAACCCTGTGCAACACTGTAACCTTTGAAAGAAACTCAACCTTTTCACGCCTCCTGTCATTGTCTGCTGGTTCCAGTTCCGGTCCAAGGATGCAGTCTTCTTCCACGTGTCCTCTGGCTGTTTGGTTAACGTCTGCTTACTGCTCCATGAAGCTTCTGGGGAGGAAAGACGAAATGTTAGTCTTGAAGCTTCAATTCAGAATAAACTGTTCTGTTTACAGAGCAGGGGGTTGGCTCATTTCCATTCACCCAGAGAGAAAAGAGGGTTGAATGGGTTTAGAAAGCAGATTGTGAAGGACTACAGTGATGATAACTTTTAGTTATAAGACACCTTTCCGAACCGATGAATGCTGTACATAGTGATTAAGAAAGGGGACAAAAAACACAAATAAAAAAAACAAAACAATAAGCTGTGCCTTTGATAGTGTTAAGGCCAAACTGCACATGCACATGCTGAAAATTGATCTGTGGCTATACAAAAAGATCTGAATGACTTCACGAGATCCTGCTGTCTGTGAGTAAATTTGTTACAGGGAAATCTGTGAGACTCTTTAGGAATCCCCAGGTACCCTCGTCTCTCCGTCTAATCTTTTGTAGCTAACAGATTGTGAAAAGGTAGACGTGGGAGGCATCACAGGTGTTTTGAAGTTTATTTCCTTCTGTGATTACAAATTTTGAACAGAGATCCTCCTCCCAAAAGGACCCCGTTCCCTTATCTTCCCCACACAGTGATGGAGAGGCTCACCCTGAGTGAACTGCAGCTCAGACACCGCAGACTGACTGGAATCTGGATAAAGTCTTTGGCTGTTTTCCTGACTCGGCTTGCCGATTGTTTCTGTGCTGGTGCTTTGGGAGTGTGAACTACAGACAAAAGAAGGAAAAGAAACATATAAGCACAATCACACTCCTGTGCCGAAACTTCCCCGAAAGTCAAGGCAAGCAAACGTACAGTGTACCTGCAAAGAACGAGAGGAAAAATGAAATCCAAAATAAGGAGTGAGCAGATGTGTCAGATTTCAACACGATGATAACAAATGATAAAAGACCAGATCATAACAAAATAACTCCTTTATAGCCAGATTGTGGACAACTCTCCTTATTGAAATCAAGTATTAGCAATTAGTCTCGCATTACATGTACAGTAAAAACAAAATTCTGTCAAATTATTAATACATTAAAGAGGTCTTTTAAATTTTGGACACTGAGATAAGCTTGACAAAGGATCTTTAGTTGCTTTTTACTACTGTTGTCTATCGGAGCCAATGAACATGTCCAGATGGGGATTCTCGACCAATTCAGACTTCCTGCTGCGTTTCCCTGTGTATTTCTTGCAGGTTGAGAATGGGGTTTTGGTTGGTTTCATGGGTGGCACACCTCTGCCTCCTTCTGGTCAGATTTTCATGGTTTTTGCTTTCCTTTAGTCTGGGTTTTCTCACTGTGTACCGCAGGGGGCTCAAATTCCTGGTCCTGGAGGGCAGATGTGTTGGCCTGCATCTTTTCAATCCAACATGGCTCTTGACCACCTCAAATCGGCTCACTACTGGCTTAATGCGACCAATTATACATCTTCCCAGCTTTGAAGTAAACCCACTGACACTAGAGCTACAGGACTGCCCACTCTAGCCCTGCAATGTAAAATCACAATAGTAAGTGAAGCCAATAAGCAGAATCAGAGCTCATATTGTGATATGCACACACACCTTTCTGGCTTTGTCGCAGGAGCCTCGGGCTTCTGTTCTTTCCCGACGTTATTCTGGTGCCCACTGTCCCTTTGTTTTTCACCCTTCTCAGTCTCTTCTTCCTTGGCCTTCTGCTAAAAGAGACACAAGCATGGCGGCAACTGCAAAGTGCAACGATACAGAGAGCATCTGTGGTCAGACATCGCTGGATTAGAGCTGGTATTCAAAATGAGGGTTTTTGTGGATAGGAATGATGACGATAATGATGCTAATGAGCTCAATGACTAATGTAAAATTTATACAGCTGCTATTCAAAATCTCCATAGGTGGGCAGTTCACAGGGTTTCAGAGTGTAGGCGCTTGATTTCTCAGAGGTAAAAAATGTAATGATGGGCTGATCCTATCTAGATCAAAAAGGACGAGTGCTGTGTGCCAACCATGTTTTAAACACCCAAGTCTTTCCATAAGTAGCCAGTTTCAGAGTTTCTCATTTCATCTTTGAAGATCATACTACCTACAAGCAAAACCTCTACCCTTTTCTACAGTAAACATCAGCAACCCAATGCATTCCTTTGATTCCTGTTCCATTTCTTTTCAAAAGGGTAATGCACTTTTTTCAGTTAGCAAAAGCTGTAAAATGCTCAGAACTGTAGAGCCCATGAGGAGAGGAGAAAGTTCTTCTCTGGGTGCCAAGCTTGAGATCTACAGCCCAGCTGTAAAGAACAGCTACCGGCGTACAGAGATCCTAGCAGACCAGCTGCTGTCTTGCAAGCACGACGCTGGGAGAACAAACAGCCGCCCACCTCCCACATGGTTTCCCTCGATGGGCTGGCTGGCTTCCCGACTTCCAGGAGCTCCTGCTTGCGCTCCCAGTTGGCCAGCGACCTCACGGCGGTCCCTTCGGGGTCCAGCAGCTGGAGGGGCTGGTCGCTACAGCCGGGGGGTGACAGGGTGGACAACTGGGGGGTCAAAGGGGCCACCGTCTCCTCCAGAATCTTTAGTTCCTGTAGTGGGACGAGAGGAATCTGCTCAGGAAAGACCAGCACTGGGCTGGGTAATCGATGTCTAGTTCGACACCAGTGCGTCTGTGACCACCTCTTCAATGATTCACCATGGAGGTGGTAGTGGTGAAGTAGGATGTCTCTTAAACAAGCATTTCCCCACTTCCAGCTCTCATCAGTCACGGTCTGCTTTTTTCTGTTGAAACCATCTCATAAGCAGCCATATCACCCTGCAACTCACAACGGGCAGCCCACCAAAGCTCAGCAGGTGTGAGCCTGGCCAGTTCCTGGATGGGAGACCTCCGGGGAAAAACTAAGGTTGCTGCTGGAAGAGGTGTTAGTGGCGCCAGTAGGGGGCGCTCACCCTGCGGTCCATGTGGGTCCTAATGCCCCAGTATAGTGATGGGGACACTACTGTAAAACCGCGCTGTCCTTCAGTTGAGATGTAAAACCGAGGTCCTGAGTCTCTGTGGTCATTAAAAATTCCAGGACGTTTCTCGAAAAGGGTAGGGGTGTTACCTCGGCGACCTGGCCTAATTTCCCATTGGCCTTTACCAATCATTGGCCTCCTAATAATGCCCATCTATGATTTGGCTTCATCACTCTGTTATAGCACTTTTCTGGACAAAAGAAGGAAAAGAACTCCACTCAAAGTGCTATATAGGTAATGGGGAAATGTTATTATTAATTATTATAAGGTGTATGAGATCATTTTAGAAAACAGTTAAATATCGCCACCAAACTTAAAAATCTACCTTCACCCTCAGTAAAAAACTTTAAAAACCTCAAAAGAAAATCAAATCAAAATTGATATATTAAATGGATAATTAATAATCAAATTACTGAAATGATTTTAAAATATAGTTATGACTCAATTACAGATGCAGGTTTAAGACTCCTGCTTAAAAAAGAAGGCGAGACTAAATTATTTATGTCCATAATTTCACTTAAACACATCCATAGACAAGTCCAGATTGTATCCATATGACCAGACCTAATTCAGCTCTGGCAGTTATGAGACACAGTATACTGTATAGTACAGGGCCATTTCCAATATCTAACTCTGCCCTACATTTCAAAAGCTGAAGAGAGCTAAGAATAATCAGTCTGAGACATGTAGACATGTCTCGTGGAGCAGGAAAAGAAAATGGGTATTAAATCCTAAACTGCTGTTTCTGTATTTGCAATATAGGCATTGAAGCAGGATTCACAAGGAAACTGCCTTAATGTATTCTTAGGGCAATTTTAAAATTAACATAATTGAGTACTGAAAATATCTTCTGTGCAGATATTAAAATATCTGCCTACCACATTCAATTTTATGACAGGCAAATATAGGTCTTCTATCAGGGTCCTTAAAAGCCTTTAGAAGACGGCAATCTGTTTCACATATTTTCCTAATGCATCTGTTGAGACAGTGAGCCCTCTAACAATGCTATGTTTCACAATGAGCCCAGACTCTAAAGTAAACAGTGCCCTCTAGTGCCTCATTTAGACTCCTCAAACATAAAACAATTTAAAAGGTTATAAACGAGAGCAGGCCACTTGGCCAATCTTAGCCCATTGGGTAGTTTCCTGTCAGTACAGAATCAGGGCACAGTAAAAGTTAAGTATTGTCAATCTTCAGCTCTGCTAATGGCCTTCACTAATTTAGCCCAATAAACTGTCAACCTTAAAGAAATAAGTCAAATTGTGTTGATTGAATTAAGTAATTCAAGCAATCGTAGCTTAAGAGTTCCAGGAATTTAACAACTTGACTAATTTCTCCTCGCTCTGAAGAGAGCCCCTGTCTCTGCCCAGCATGCTTCAGAAGGTCAACGTTCAACGTTCTCCCGTCTTGCAGCACTGTGTTCCGATATAAAAACGTGGAAAGACTGGCACACCTCCTCGTGGTATTTGCGCCCCTCCTCCTCCACTTCTCTCTGGGCCTTCTCCCACTCCTGCTTCAGCTTCTCCTGCTCACGCTGATACTTCTCCTGTACAAGGGGGCACAAAGACAAGGAAAACGAACTATGGTCCAAACTGCACCTGGAACTCCCTGGACTTCAGGCACCACGGCACAGGTCTCTAATAATCCCCCCGCCAAGGATACAGATCTTTCTGGAAACAAACTCCTGCCTGCAGCTTCAATACATATTTGGGCTGATGGTACTCCGAGAGCGAGCTACTATGTTCACGTTTTCCAGCCCTGGTTCTCAACCCTTCGTGTCTTAATCCCCAGAATAGCTCTTAGCAAGTTAGCTGAAGCTTTAATTGAACTAAATGTTAGTAAGATCTTTTAACATGAAACCTCCAGATGTTTTTAATCTCTCAGACTATTTAGGAATCGATTACCAATGTCAAGGTTTTAAACAAATCATTTGAGAGCTCAACAGGAACGAAAACTGCAAGGGATGAGTCCTGGAAAGTTCCCTTTGACAATGCAGAATGTATTGAAGTCCAGGAATCATTTCTTAATGCACAACACACTGTGTTCAGTGGAACACAGTAAATTCATCAAGCGATCTGGAAAGCTGTGAGACATTTGATTACAATTATGAAACAATGCACGAATCCAACACTGTGATATTAAGTTTTTACAGTTTGAAAGTTATTCCAATCCTCTAATTAAAGGATATTGTGAAAAACTATAGCCATAATTACCTCAGAGCTGACATCCCTGACATTGACGCACTCCAGTGGAACTGTGTGCTTTGAGCATTTCCAAATTTAGATTTCTATGGCAGACTATCACGTTCAGGGTTAAATTCAAGACTGCTACTAGCAGAACAGTTCTGTGAACTCACGGATTGTATAAAACTGTAAAACAGGGTGGAACAACTGGTACCCCAATGTGACACAGAGCCCATGCTTCTCCATGCAAATATTACCTCATCCTTGAGCGCCAACACTCACAGCCTCATGCTTTCAACAGCCCGTATGCAAGCGTACAGCAGACAAGAGCCATGATAGTATGACAATTCACCTAGAACTGCCTGTTTGGCAACAATTCAAACGAGTACAGGAGATACTGCTTCTTGGACAGCGGTAATACTTTCTGGCACTATAAGTAATACTTACAGACATTCAGTACAATGTGTAAAAGATCATCACATGGTTGAATCATTACTTCCCACATCTCTCTGTTCTATCTTTACTGTGATTGAATCGTTCTTTTCTCTGCTTTGCTATACTTTGGTATAATGCAGCAAATGTTTATAAGAGCAGAAGATATGAGCTCTGAGAGAGAATACCTGCAAGCTCTCCAAAACAGGCCTTGAGCAATATTTTAACAGAGGTCTAGTTTTTTATTAGTTCAAGTGGGTAGCTGGGTCAGCATGCGTAGGCTGTAAAGGAACACGTCAAGTTTTATTCCATGCTGAAAAGAGAAGAAAGGCAACAACGTTTCAGCTGTGGAGCCTTCTTTGGGAGTGAGGCTCCAAAGAAGGCTCCACAGCTGAAACGTTGTGTTTCCTTTCTTTTCTTTTCAGCATGGAATAAACCTTTACTTGTTCCTATTTTTTTTAGTATTCTAACTGCTTAATGTCTAAAAGGGTCAAATGAGCTGCATTTAATGCTGCCTGCTTTCATTTTCCATGATAAAATTTAAGAGTTCGTTTTTGCTTTAACACTCCATTAAAAAATAGGAATCAAGCACGGAGCAAGAAATCCACTCTAATTTGAGGTCAGCTGGTTTTGGCCAGACCAAGCTCTTCCTCGATTAACACCAGCTAAGACACGATTAAGAAAACACACACCTCTCCCTGCTACACTGCTAAGCTGCTGGGTGCCCAGCCCAGGATTCTGAATTGCGTAATTGGTTTATTAAATGGGTTTCATTTTTAACATACCGAATAGTAAAACGTGACGATCAGTTAGTTGTAATGTACTGCCACACACATCATTGGAATGAACATTTTCTGAAGTTGGCACTGCACTTCTTAGAGCTAAAGAAAACACGTGTCCGGAGGCTGGTTTGTAATAAGATCCGACATTTTTAAAAACTTCAATGGGTAACATGAGGTGAGGGAACAAAAAAGGGAGAAAGAACTCCCCATCAGAAATACCTAGAAAGAATGCAGTGTACATTCCACTGGCTGGGTTAAAAACTCACACCTGCACGACATTTAGATTATGCACGTGACTGGAAAGCCCAAACAGATTTAATCCAGTGTGAGGTACCCACCCGACACAACATCTGTCTGAACAAATAATAAAACGCCTGAACTAAAGAGAAACAGACAGCGGCCTGCTTCCCATCAGCGCTCGAAAACAGGCAGCAAGCTCCGGGGCCAAGAGCAGAAGACGACATGGCGGCAGCAAGCGCAATGGCACTGGTTAGACAGCACACAGGGCTGGCGAGGCAGTGCAGGGGGATGGGGCGGGGGGCCACCGCTGGCCGTGTTAAGATACCTGAAGCACGCGCTCCTGGTCTCGCTGCCATTTTTCCTGACGCTTGCGCTCCTCCTCAGGGTCCCACGACCAGCAGTCGGTGTGCTTGGGCGGATTTAACAGAGGGGCTGGGATCTGACGGGGCCACACCGGGAGAAAGGAACGTGATCGAAAAGGTGCTTTCCGCTACCCCGTGCTAGCAGGGGGTGGTATAACCGGGGTCGAGGCTGATGCGACCATTGCAAGTGACAAAAGATTTTGTTTTTCTAGTGGAGTCAGCGATTTAGACATCAACATCATTTTGGAGCGTCTCCTCCCTGTGTGGTTTCTTTTCTGCCTGAAAGATTTGGGGTTCATTTTGGTTATGTGATGCAAGCTGCACTTATTTTAAACCATGGGTTAAAGACAACAGTAGGACTGGAACAGGGGACATCGGCAGGCTGATCAGTTCTTCCTCCAGTCTTACTCTAAATAAGAGTGACCTTTATTTCCTCAGGCAGAGTAACAATCACACTGTGAGTCCTCAGTGTAATTAAGACACTGTCTTACTCTGGGACACTATTTAAAGGCACTCAACAGAGGGTTTTACATGTTTTTTCTTGTTTCTTTAAAGTACAGTAAAAGTAGAGTGGAGGAAAACTATAACTTCTTGGAATTTGCTTGAGTCCTTTTTGCTTGCAGCTCGTAGGCTTTATATGATCTGTCTGCCTATGGTGTCTGTTTTTATTCAAATTTTAAAGCATTTGAATTGATTCAGACATGTACATAATTTTCGACCATCTCCTCCCTATATTGTTTGTTCTCTGCCTGAAAGCTCTTGGCTTCCTTTTCCTTATGTGACATTGTGGGATGCATATTTCCTCAGACAGATGAATCTTAACAGTACCCAAAACCTAGGTCTGAGCTCTCAAGCCAGAGCTTTTGGCGACAGCGCTGTATGCCACTGACAATAGCAAACAAGTCGGTAACAGGACAGTTTTTGTTACAACTTGTCTCTTAACAAGCTTAACCAGCTTGTCACGAGCCTACTGTAAGTAGACAAATTTAACAGCTTCTCCAAGAACAGGATTTGGGAACCCAATGCCTAATGCAGGGTGTTAAATCTGGTCTCCACTAAAATACACCATTACAGCCAAATGAAATATCAACATGAAATGTTTTAGCACCCCAAAACTTACAGCTCTCCACATACAATTTCTCCAGCCACAGATAGATATGAACAGATATACGTGAATGATATAACAAAAAAAGGTACTTACATCTGAGCTTTCATCCTCCATGTCTTCTGTGAAAGGATGACAAAAAAAGTTAAAAGTTTAATTTCATTATGGTGAAATACTGCATTACGGACTTAGACTCAGTTACACATGAACACAGACATCAGTCGGATCTCAGCAACAGCAGCTGTTCAGTTAAAGACTGAATACCACACGACCAGCTTACCGAGTATGAAAGGGCAGCACCTTGGCCAAACAGCCATGTGACAACTAACAGCCCAAAATGACCAAATGAAATTCAATTTGTTACAGTTATCTATACTTCAGATATTCTAGAAACGGGACATATTTGCAAACATTCTGGAAGACACCGCACTTTGAAACACAAGCTTTAAAATTTTGTCTCATTTCATACTTGGCACGTATTTGGCATTTCAAAACACACAAAACAAACCTTGTATTGAAGCATTGAACAGACTAAAACCCAGCTCTTTATGGCACCTATTAAGCACCTTCCTCAGAAAAAAATGCAAATTTAATTCTGAGTAGTAACTGGGGCTGGAATTTGTACATCAAACAATGCAATGACAAAAAAATCACCCAAACAAGGCAACAGCGATCTTGCAAATACTTTGCTTGCAAAATTGTCATGGTTAATTGTCAGATTTGCAACAGACAAGTCATCTTGCCTGGATGACTTGTCCATTCAGCTACATAACTTTTCTAGACATGATGGAAAGCTGATGCGGAGCAAAGATCTATCTAAGTAGCAAAAGAGGCTAGGCCTATATAGCTGCAGAGCCCCAGACACAAAGCAGACAGTCTACTGTGAGCAAAAGACAATGGCTATTTTTATGCACAGATTACTAAAGTAGCAAGGGAAGGTAGGAACTTTAAAAACCAAAGGCACCAGTCAGACAAACATTCCCAGACACAAATGCACCTGCAGATTCCCTGTGGCAGGCTATGTTCAAACACGGAATACACTTCCAATCTTTTGAAAAAATTGGTCCCCAAACTGTAACCTGATTTCTCCGTTGTAGAGCGTATGGCTGTTGTATGGGTTTTTAAAGGAACTCAAACACGATGTGCTGTTGATGTATATGTTTTTCAGGTGCTGGCTTTTATTTGGGTCCATTTATTTGTCATTTGATCCTGTGTTGCAAAGTTTTTGTTCTTTTCAGGACCAGTACAATTGCAATGGCTGGAAAAGCTTCCTTACTGTTTTATATATGCAAACAAGTCATTCGATTCTTCGCCTGATTTGTCCTTGATCTAGTCCTGCAAGGGCTCTTGCTTGGATCTTGGTGACCCCTGTAGCCTCCTGGTGCTTACAGGTGCGGTCGGTCAGGGATTCCAATTGACGCAGAACCACCCCTAGGGGGCTCCACTGCTTCTGAGGTGTTAAAAGACAAGTGGCACAAAAGTGGCAAGGGACAGAGGGGTCTGTCTGAGCTTCTTCATTCTCGAGGGCTTTGCAGCTGTTCCAAACCAGGTGGGTATAAAAATAACAGATTTTAAATTTCTTATTAAAAAAACACAAATGTGGATAATAACAGTATCATTCAGAGCTGTGTAACTTTCTTTTGTAATACCCTAAACTGTCTCTCCAAAATGACCAACGATGGATCCAATATTACCGCTCATCAATAGATCACGTAATGGAATCACACTTAAATCGGCACATCTCAGAGGTATCTCGGTCTGCTGTTCATTGCTCCAGTTGTTGGAAATAATACACATTAAACTAGGGAATGTTTTAAAACCCAGCACTAAGAGCAGAAAACAGTCCAAACCAAGAAAGCATATCATATCCTTTACTGCCAACAAGGGCTGTAGAAATAAGGAAGTCTGTTTTGTTGTCGCTGAAGCGAAAACTCTGGTTTCTATCAAGTTACATGTTCATTTAGCACTGGTAATTAAGGGCCCAGATGAAACAAAATCTAGCAGACTCGGGGATAATCCAGGACCAAGACTGAGAACCACTGCCTGAAATGAAAGAACTAGGTTTACAGTAGGCGTGAATAAGAGATGTTAAGATACAACTTATCGCCCTTCAATTTCCCTGTTTAATCTCCTGTTTTCCAGTACATGGTATGATAGATCATGCTCTATTATTTTAAGAACAAATGTTTTTGGTTGTAAATACACACATTGTTAAAATACCAAGTGAAAGACAGACATTACAGAGAACCGAGAAGAGATGCAAAACACTAACTAGATCAACCACATTATCCAGGTGTATATAATGTGAAGAGACCAGGGGTGCAGGGAGCCTTCAGAGTGCAGATGAGGAATGTTGTCGTACACAGCATCACGCCTGGACAAGTCGCACGTGAAACCCTCCATACAGGACGAAACGAAGGACAGCGAGACGGGGAAGCCCGTGTGAATGGACGTACACCGCTAACAGCAACGCCCCTCCCAGGAAAGAGCCCCATGAGCCTCTCTGGTGCGGCAGCGTACAGGCAGAGCGCAGTCACTGAGGTGTAGTTTACCTGGCTGGGTGAAGAACTCCCAACGCATCCAGGAGTTCACAACCCTGGGCGGGACCCTGGCACTGCCAGCCTCCTCTACACGAGAGGGCCCAGCGCCAGGCGAATTGGGGAAAAAGGGGAAACAGACAATATAAAAGAGTTCTGTCGCGAAAGATGGCCTAGACAGATCAAACTAAAAACACATGGGGTGGGGGATCAAACAGAAAGGTCACAGGATGTTGGGGGCCAGCATCCTCACAGATGCCAGCAAGTATTCAACAGGGTTGGGTTGAAAGGTTTCTTACATTCTACAGAGTAAGAATCAATTTTTAGCTCTTGACAGGCGAGTGTGGTTTGTGGTTAATGAAACCGTGGGACTGAAAAAGACCAGAGTTAGAGGAGATAAATATTATTTGAAAAGCTTGTTCAGATACAGGCAGTTCCTGCCACCTTATTCTGTGCGATCCATTCTCTGGAAGGTTCCCCTGATACCATACTTTTATCAGACTGGTCCTCCAGACTGACCAAGCTTTGGTGCCAGAAGTCAGCTGTGCCCCACCTCCAGAGATATATATGCCCCACTGCCAGAGATATAATATTTAGGGTGCTTAATTTTCTATTCCGATAAGGGAAGAGTCAACCTGCCTGAACGCTTTGTCAGTGATATTCAATTTGTTCTACTCTTTGGCTTTTTTCTATACCAATTAACACACAACCGAACAACTGATATAACACCGCTTTGTATAGTGGGCAGGGTACAACAGCTGCCTTCTCCAATTCCTTCTGAATTGTTTTACCTTAAGGAAACATCAGTAAAACATCTACCGTTGTTTGGTCACTTTTTGTGGTTTATAGTAGTATATGGTAATATACTATATCCTTAGTATATGGTAATATATACTTAGTATAAATAATAGTATATAGATCATGGCTTAAGTATAGGTTTAAAAACTGTAAGGATAGTTAAGGGGAAAAGCTTCTAAAGCCTCCATCTACTCCTCAGCAAGTCTTTACTATCCTTACAGCTGAGAAATTGGCTATCTTTTGTAGTATACTGTATCAAACTTGAAGTGATTTCATCCATGACTTTCTCAAGTAAACTATGACACAGCTGAGACTATTTCCAGCTCAGGGAGAGCACTGTATCTGAATTATGCCGTGTCTGATAAACTGTAACTTGATATGACAGAAGGCACAGCTGGAGCAAGGTTAAAACCGAAAAAGCCCAACACAGGAGTAATTAAGGGTGTCTTACGGTGCTTCACAGGCCCACAGGAAGACGGAATGTTGGGGCAAGGCATCTCTGTCCTCTTAGGTGTGACCAATTCCTCGCGGCTTTGCTGGGGTTTGTCATTGGGTGATTGATCAAGCTGAATGAATAAAAAGATACTTGGTCAGCTTTCTTGTGACCGGTAAACGGGAAGCAAAACCGAAAGTGCTTTTAACGTGTAAATGGCGCCTTCGTAGAATGTTCACGACTATCAAAGTCATAAGTATAACTCAGAGGAAGAAGTCAGCCACCCGGTGTGATGGATGTCTGGAATGAGCTTCCCAGCAATGTTTGCTGCACAGATTCCCTTGGAGTCTGCAAGAAACATCTGCATGCGATCCCAAGATTCATTAGCTATGAGGAAATGATTATGAATACACAAGTCTAAAGTTCCAGACTGCTTCATATATTCTTACAGCAGAACTCCAAAGACAAAATTTGACAGAATATTGCACACCTCCATCCACTGTAGAACACACAAGGTGTCTTATTGGATATCTTTTACAATTACACCAAGCATACCACATTCCTGAAAATATCTACTGGGCTAAGCTTTTCGTGGAGAGAAAAATACAGACACTGAGGCAGAATTAGATATACACGCTTATGGACACAGTGCTCTTAATGGTGACAAAAGCAGGTGTAATGTTTGGTGGAAGATTTTGATAAAGTTTATTCAATTTCATTTGTATTTTCTCCAAACGTATTGAAATGGGAATTGACGTCGTCTTTAGAGTTTAGCAATTGTTTTACATGATATAGGGTTGAGCCCTGGAAGACGTTTGGAGTGCAAGAGGAGAAAAGTGTGAAGGATGATTACTCTTGAATGCCACTGATTTTGACTGAAAAGTACGTGATTATCTCCAGGTGAAAAGTGTTGATTGTTAGCATAATTGTGTGAAGTATTTTTATTGATATTGTTTTTACCATAACCTTCGCTTGACATGACTATTTATAATGTCATTTTATAAGCATTAAACTTGGAAAAAAGTCTCATGTACCATTTTTTGATTTTATTAATAATTTTATTTTCAATTTATTATTAATTCATTGCTCCATAAGAAGAGTAGGTTACTGGATTAAAATCAAAACCTACTGGAAAAAGAGCATAAGTGCAGGCGTAACCTTCTCACAAGGGCTGGGGACCTAGCGCCCTCTTTTGGTGGATCATGTTCAAAACAAAATTAAGATGTACTACAGACTTATCCCTACAATTATTTTTAAATGTTCACAATTTCAAAAAACATATTTACCACCTTGAAAATAGCATAGGGAACTATAAACACAAAGATGTACAGATGTTAATAAACACAGTGTGAAAAAACGCTTTGTAAAAATGCAGAATTCAATGGATGTGCAGATTTATACATAATACTGTGAAGTCCACCTAAGCCATCAAAAGTTAGTGGAGAATTGGGTGAGGACCTGCTCCCTAGATCCAGGCAGCAGATTACTGGAGAGCTCTTAGAAGAATGTGCTTCCTGGTTTTGTACAGTCACATGACCAATCACGGTCACCTGACTGTTCAGGTGACAGACATGATGCAGGTCGTCCACCTATTGCAATGTCACACATTCTAAAGCAAAGCACTGGGTTTTGGCTCATTTACTGTGAGGCACAATCCCTTAACTTCAGTAAACTGCAGTAGATCATGCTAGCAGTGAGTCAGCACAGGGGTATTATTGCAGTTGATACGTTATACTAGGGTTGCAAAATGCCAGGGACATCATAAGTGTGTTATAGACTTATTTCTGCAATCAGAGGCCTGCAGACAGATTCAAGTGCAAATCCCAATGCCTACCTGCACTGCATTCAACACTACTGTGGTCTGGTAACTCTGTCTTGCGGGCCGCTCTGGTTTGCCTTCTTCAGTGGGACTAGTCTTACAAATGGAGTTCTGCTCAATCGCTACAGAGTTCACATAGGTGCTTGTCTTCTCAACACACTGATCTTCTGAAAGGAGAGCAAACAGAGGTTGGAATGGCAGAGGATTTAAAGGCTAATCACCCAAATGGGTTTCAAATCCCCTCTTACTGCCCCTTTCCCGAACTTCCTTCAGATTACACCACAGACAACAACCTGTTGGACCTGCCCGGATAGCAAGCAGAAGAAGAGCTGAGGCAGAGAATGTTTGTTAAGGCAAAATGTGAGGCACAGATAGGGTTGTAAACTCACACTGAAAGTCCTGTTAAATATTTCACACCTGGCTCAAGGCAACGAAACGATAGAAGAAATCTTTTATCATACTATAGGCATTTATGGATAAGGAGCAACTGTTTCTCGATTTTTCAGAATATACTGGAACAAAAGCCCAGCTTCCAATAAGCCTTCAGCAGCCTTCCACTGCTTGTCTCAGGCGTGGCTTGCCAGCACTACAAAGGCCTCTAGATGTCACTGTTCTCTTAGCTACCAGTGAGAGCATGACAATTCCAGACCTTTCTGTGGCGTCTCCCCAGCAACCCCGGCCTTCAGTTCCTCCTGAGAAGGAGCTGGGATAAAACCTGCCTCTTCAAATGCAGCACTTTCTTTCTGAAGCTCCTGAGACGCAATAAAAAAAAAGACTCTTAGCACAATGGAAGCTCTTCTCCCTTAAAGCACTACTTCAAGGGGACAGAACACTTCAGCTCCAGCATAGTCTATTTAAAAGAAATATTAAAAAGGGATTACAAATATGCATTTCAATATGAAAGCCCTGCTTCACACCTTTATTTCCTTCCAGCAAAGCAAAAATAATCAACTGTTCTTAATGTATTTCTTACATAGGGTGTGTTACAGTATCAACAAGATATTCCGTTAAAGCTTTACTTGACTGAGGGTTAACACCCCCATCATAACTCCTTCATAACATAACGCAAGACAATATAACAATATGCCTAAAAATATTTTGCATATAGCATACAACAATTCACAAACATTCTAGGACTACTGTTACTGAGCTGCATCTGCAGAAAGTCCTTATCGAGATAAATCCTTAGTGGCGTCTTCCTTCATGTTCACTTGACTCATCTCCACCTACAGTTCTGCCCTTAGATTTTGGCTGAAACTAGATCTCCTTATGAACCATGTTGAATTGTCACATGCTTGAAATATTTGCGCATGCTCAGGGGTGTTTATAAAGGAGTTACAGTATGATTGCGTTTTCTAGCCCCATTTCAGACAAAGTGGACTGATGTTCATCGAGCAGATGCTCTCACTAAGGTGAACAATTCAAGTTAGAGTTAGAGTGGACAGTGGGATCTTGATTTGACTCTGATCTTAAGAGAACAATCAGGTTCAGTAACTTGTTCAGCAATAACAGTCATCTCCCGGTTGCAAGCTCTTTTCCTTTTTTACCAGACCATCTATCTGAACTTGGTCTGCAGAGCATAACAAGAATCAAGGTCATGGGAATGGCATAGAAACGAAGGGAGTACCTCAGGAAGAGAAGTCGGTCTTGTTGGAGTGGAGTCGTCCGGTGTCTCAGCCCGCCTGCTCTGCGCTGCACTGCTCTCCTGTGTCTTGAGTGGAGAGCAGATCCTGGGATCTGCGACCGGAGAGTGGGATTCTGTCTGGGCGAGGGGGGTGGGCTGGACGGGGCCCTCGTTCACGCTGCCCTGAGGCATGGCTGCCGCCGTCTCTGGCTTGGGGCTCTCCCGGGACATCGCAGGGGATGGGTTTAGCCTGGTGGTGCTCTCAAAAACCAGCGGAGAGGTGGGGGACGAGAGACTCTTTGTTGGTGAGCTGTCCCTCTCGTCTTCGGCTCTGTTGAACACTTCGCCCGTCTCTCCGTTCACCCGCACCAAGCTGTCCAGCTGGGCAACAAAGAAAAACAGCAGGGCATGACAACTTAGGAAGAGGGAAAAGACTCCAAAACCACAGCAAAGCCTTAGAGGCAGCACATGCCATTTATAAGGGATTTAAGAATGGAATCATTTTAACACTGTACTAACAGAGTGACACTAAAGTGATAATGTAGATTAATTACATGTTAGCAACAAAGCCTTAATTCTGATCATAGCCTGAATCATCCAGGACTTTTTGCAGTAGGTTTTTTGTTCTACCTATAACACTTTGTGAATTGCTGTCAAGGTTCAGAGTCTGTGCAACAGTTAGAGTGAGTGTATCCTGGTTCCACCAGAGAAGCACATTGGCACATTTTTGTAAAAAATGTACAAAAAAAGTCACATGAACTCAGATATTTTCTCTGTGATCCTGATGTGAAAAACAGAATAATTCAGATGTACGCATGGCATAACCTCAATAACAAAATGATAAATGATAAATTGTCCACTGTATTTAAATAGGCTCCCATTTCCTCTGCAGGGACCTACAAGTCTGAATATGAGATAGCTGTGCTGGAATGGCCTGGAATGGCCTGGAATGGCCTGGAATGGCCTGGAATGGCCTGGAACACCCACAAACGCACAGAGAGAACAGTATGTCTTGAACGTATACATTAAAGTTGTCTGCACTGCTGTTTCTACCCAAGCCCCTCTACTATAGAGGAAGGGCTCTGGACGTCTTGTGGCAAGAGTCTGGAGCAACAGCAGTGTCTTTACTTCAATTTAATCGAACCCTGATAAACACCTTTGTAAAGAGTCTAGATTTTGCAGTGCCTAGTCTTAAACCAAAAATAAAATGGACTCCCTACTGTATGTGAAGATGCATTTTTCTATTGATCCTCTACCTGCTTTTCACTCAGGAAATATGCTTTGGCACATTGTGTGGCAAGAGAATACAGTGGTTTTCTTAGGATTTTGAAAACATTTTGTGGGCATCTATGCATCAAACAAGACCGTGGTTCTGAATGGTTCCACCACATAGCAACCCAAGCTGCTTCAATTGGCAAACATCAGCCTTATCCTGGCCATAGACTTGTTTTAAAGTGAAGGATGTGCTATAAAACATCCAGATAACTTTAAGGCCTTGTGTAGCAAATCAATTGCATCCCTGGGTCATGTTTGAGAGTCTTCAGAGCATTCACAAACCTTGAGCTTACTAATAAAAACCAACAATGTGCATATACAAGAGATATACTGGTGTTCAAGTCTTTGTGATTTCAAAGCTTTCACATACTCCAGCAGACAGAGAGGTGAGGCAGAAAGATTAAGAGCAAAACGCCACGGACTTAAATTAATTTCCCTTAGCCTGTAGCAAAGGAGCTACACAAGACTGCTGAGGCCTTGAGAGGAATGAGACAATTCATGAGTGAAAATGTGTAGGAGGAAGAAGAGGAAAACCAAACCTTTTTTTCTCCTATTTTTAATCAATGGTCTTGGATGGGTTTCCAAAAAATAAAGCACTGACTGAACAATCAATCCCTGAGGACTGCTGTTTGAGCCAAGTCTTTCATAGCGCAAGCATGTGGTTTTTTAAAAAATAAAGATCTTTCAACACTGTCCTGACCAGAGTTCACTTTGATCGTTTTCCCCCCAAATCCGGACTGCCTCCATTTTTTCTTTTGAAAGAATTAGATCCTCATTTCTCCACCTTGTTTAATTCATTAATTGCTTACACTTATATAGCGTTTTTCTGGACACTCCACTCAAAGCGCTTTAGAGGTAATGGGGACTCCCCCCTCCACCGCCACCAATTTACAGTTTACAGTGGAGGTGAACTGGTCATTGCCATAGCATTCCAGAGGAAGCTCAGTTCTAGTAAGGATGAAGCCAGTCTCTCTTTGACTGTAAAAACCTGTCACCCTTCAGGAAATCCTGATTTCCATTATTCCACAACCAAACACACCTTCTGAGTTAACTGACATCCGATTACATTACTTACCAATGACTTTAAAATTCCTACGGCTGTATGAGGAAAATAAATAAAAAATGAATCAATAATATAACTGATGAATCATAATAAAGAGGACAACAATGCTAATAATATCAGATTAGTTTTGGATTAATAAGAATACATTCGGATTATATAATGGGGGAAAAGCTAACCCACATGTACACCCAGTAAGAGGATGCTAAATCTATTTTAAAAAAAGGCTCTATAATTTGCAGTCTAACCCAGGACCCTAGAGCAAAGAAGTAGCAGAGCTACCAAGCCAGTGTGGCACACACACATCATAGTTTTAAATAGAAAAGAAATATCTCATAAATAAAATAAATATCAGAGTTTTTCCACTTCTGATATAAAATCTGTGAAATATTAGCTCAGATATGTGATATTAAACAGTGGCACCACCTAAGGACATCTGATCCTTGAGGGCTGAGAAATATTTAGGTTTTACATCTAAATGCTGATGACAATATTAATATATAACAATTATATTGTGCTTTTCTGGACATCACATCATCCAGGTGGATGCTGCACATTGGTGGTGGTGGAGGGGTCCCCATGACCTGTGAAGCGCTTTGAGTGGAGTGTCCAGAAAAGTGCTACAGAAGTGTACGGAATTCATTATATTATTACAAGATCAGCGGTGGCTCTCAATCCTCACCTTGAGTGACTTCAGGCCGGACTGCGAGTTCCTGGGCTGGGAGTAAGGCTTGGGGGTCAGCAGGGGTACGGTCTTGAAGGTCACCGCGCGGGTGGGGGAGGTCTGCGGGGAGCTGGCCCGGCGCTGGCTCGGCACGCCCGAGACGGAGGCCTCCACGGTGGCAGTGAACTTGGGGGCCGGGAGGGACTGCTGCCGCAGGTACTTCATGGCGCTGGAGCTGGAGGAGGAGGAGCCAGCGCTGGGGTCCACAGACACACTCCTCTCCAGGCACCGCGGCAGCTGCAGGCGCTCCAGGACGGCCTCGCTGATGGTGAAGCGCTGGGTGTAGCGCTGCAGCACGGCCTCCGCCTCCTCGGGGGTCCTGGCGCTCCTGTAGGCCGCGTGGAGCTCCTTCTCCCTGCGCTCCCTGGCAACGACAGGCAGGCATTACCACACAGGCAAGCACGGCCCACACCTTCGCTTAACCAGAAAGGCCTTTAGAACAAACAACGCTAAAAAAAAAAAAGAATGTACTGTTTAGACTGAATCGGAGTTAACTAAGACCTTTGTATTTTATTTTTCATTTTCTGAGTGGGCTTAGGAAGTAGCTCAGCTATGACTCAGCTGTTGGCCATTGTTATTAAAATACAACACCACCTCTTTACCCACTAGAAAAGGAATATTTTAAATCAAGATTGAGGGCTGCATCTGAACCACAAGGATTAGTTTAGTAATATGAAGCGCACTGCCCCTTGGATGTTCACATACTTCTCCTCCACAATTTCTCTGTAGGTCTTGATGCTCTTCCTCCTCTCCGATAGCCCGCCTTCCCCACTCATCAGCCTCTCCATCATCTTCCTCTCCTCCTCCTTCTTAATCAGGTCCTGAGAGGCACTCCTCCGTCGGCTCTTCCAGCGTGCCAGGTCCTGCAGACGAACCCCAGGTACATCAGTCAGCTTTAACTTGAGCCACGGCTTTGCCAGGTTTATCTCACGAATTTACTCATATTTCCTAAACTCTGCTTCATGGTGCCAGTCTACATGCATGTCAAACCATGATTTTTACACCATGTTCTCCTACACCTCCCTCTGGTTCTACCAAGTGACTCTTCACCTAAAGGGTTACAAAACATCCCCAGAGCGTTTAATCGGAAACACTTCTCAAAATCCCCTGCGGTTTTGAGCAAAACAAAATGTTGTCGAAAAAGGATCTGAAAACAATGGATGAGCACAAAGAATGTCCAGAGGCAGCAGATTCTTATTAGTACATACTGTAGTATTTATTGGCACGATTTACCTCGGTAAAAAAGTAGAAATGTCAGTTTTTGTATTCCCTAGTTGTCTCCAATTTAACGGACAGCCAAATGTCAAATGGTTTATCTGACCCTCTGCAACATTACACCCTTATAAACACACACACACACTCCCTAAAACACGACCTTCTTGACACAAATGCCACTTTCAAAGCACCAACAGGATGCTGCAACTCCCACAGACAAAACTGTGAGCCTCACCTACAGGTCTAACTGGATTGAGGTTCTTCAGGAGCAGGTTACAAGCGTCCTGATCTCATGCAAATAAGTTAGAAAATCTAATTAAAAGATACACATGAAACAATCTCAAACAAGCCCTTCACTGTGAAAATAAAAGAATAGTAAAAAAAAAGAAAACGTATTCTGGCCTCAACCAAGCTGAGAAGGCCAGGAGCTGAGAAGCCACCCAGGCAAGTTTGCTGTGATCACTTTACACATGTTTCCTGTGGCATATTTTGGTGAAAGCAGTGGTCAGGGTCTTGGGCCCATAATAAAAAGGCAGTGGGTTCAAATCCCCGGTGAGACTCTGCTGTTGTAGCCTTGAGTAAGGTACATCACCTGTTCCAGTAAAATACATTTGCCGTTCATTTACACAGTACAAGAAAAGGCACAGGCAAAGTAAAGCACAGAGGAGTATGGTACAAACCGATGGGGAACTGTGGGAAAGAACGTCGCTGTGCTTTTTAAAGCCATGGTGTAGCCGTGACCTGGCCTGAAGCCTGCCTAAGCTTATACCAGCCTGCCTGCCTGTCAGACATGGGCTGTACTCACATCCTGCCACTGGTCCTCCTCCTCCTTCAGCTTGTTGTGCAGGTTGTGCAGGAGCTCGTGGCGGGCCTTGCTGTGTGGCTGTAGGATGGCCTCCTCCTCGCACCTCATGTCGATCATGCTCACGCTCCTGGAACACAGAGGCGGGAGAGGAATTGGAGCGCGTGCACTTCTCTGGGGGGAGAATGCTGCTCCTTATTTTCACAAAGGAGAGGAGACCACTACACGTTATAAGCGGTGAGCTAGCCTGAGAAGAACTCTGATTTACATGCTTGAAATCAGAGAACAAGCTCGGGGAAACAAGAGTAGCAGTTTTATAAGGTTTTATGCAAATAGCCTTTTTTAAAAAACATCCTAATTTGCTGCCGAATGTAAGATTTTACCCGAAGACTTAAAGCTGCAAGGAGACGCAGAGCATTCTTTAGCTTTTCTAAAATTAAACCTCAGCCACAAAAAGCCAAAACAGGTTTGCATCACGGAGATTTTGTTTTTTACTTGAGTAAAGCTAACCCACTTTTACAACCACACAAATTCAAGGAGCTTTCTTTTCAGATTTATCTCAACCCAGACCTGAGAATACCAAAAGAACACAAAACTGTGAGAATTCAGCCCTGTTTCCCCTCGAGCTAGTGCCAAGAAAAAATAAAAGCCTGCCTCAACTTTGAACTTTTATCCATCCATATCAGACCTATCCCACTGTTTCAAAATATTTGTTATTTTTGCACTGCAAGACGGCAATGTTTAGTTTAGGATGAGTGAAATATTAAGTGAAGAGAAAAAAGAAACAGGAGGAGGACGCTGGAGTTTGGTCGTGTTGGCCTTGGCAGTGCTGTAGTGTAACGTGCTCTAGATGACACTGACTTGACATGACTACAAACCCACAACTGCTGGAAAAGAGATCCAATCATCATTTTCGTAAAAGCAGCTGCCCTCGCCACACAGCGGGCAAATCCGAAACGCCACGGCAAAACTTTTAAATCGCAAAACCATTCTGCACATAACGGGATCGGGACGGAATTTCAACGTTCGCCACAGGAAAACTCATTACCACAAACCTCGGATTCCAAAAAAAGCTGGACAACGGCAAACTCGCCAAACCCCCGCTGAGGCCTTCGGCCAAAAAGCAGAGAAACTATATAAATAACCTTTTGTTCCATCGCTCATTTAAGACCGTTAAAGACTCCATAATGAATAAAAGCTGTTTCTATTCTGCTATCTGCAATGCAAGAAAATGGATCATGAATATATTAAAAAAATAGCAATTTGAGCCACGTGCTCACTTTTAATGGTAAAAGAAACCAAAATCAGTGCATTGCCTTCTTCTATGCTAAAGAATCTATGTGATTAGTTGTTCGATATTATAGATGAGAACAGCTACTATCCTTAAAAACAAATCAAGATATCTCACATAAATCAATCATTTTTTGCTGAAAAGATAACCTTGCTGTAGTGTTCTCTGAGCATTACTGTACCCTGCCTGAATGTCATGCTTTATCGAAAAAGAGACCACTTGTCATTCCAGCTCACACTGTCAGAACTTTGGCAGCAACCACCTTCCTGGTAATGAGAGTTTGTTGACAGAATCTGGAATTAAAATGAGCACCTAAAATAAACCAAGACCTCACTGTAGTGAAACCTTATTTATTTTAACTACATCTCATCCGGGAATCCTTCTGTTGACCAAAGGGGCCGTGCAAGCATCTGAAAAAAAAACACTCCTCCAAAATAAACGAAACCGTAACGTCGGGCTCAGTTTGCAACAGCAGGGCCAGAATCAACAATAGCCAGTTAACAGTTGTCATATGTTAACTGTTAATAAGCAAATTGGCGTTAGAATCAGTGAGTGGAACACTTACCCAGAGCGCCTTAGAACGTACTCTAGAAAGAATACTGTAAGTAACTAAACGGAAAGTAATGGAACCGTCTCGAGAGAGGCAATTCAGCTGCATGCCTGTTAGGAGCTTAATCCACAGAGATGCTGAGATGAAATGCAGACAATGAAAAACAAGTACAGACCAAAGTTAAAGAAACAGTGCAAAAAGCTTCTTATCCCTCAGTGCCTCGAGGCCTTCCTGGTGAAAAAGCATCACAAACCTGCTATTAGACTATCAAGAGCTGATGGTTGAAATCGAGGTGGCCAGGAAGCCATCCGATAGCCTAAACAGAACTGGTCTCGAGTATCAGCTTTATTGTATAAGCAATTTGGATCACCGGATTATCAAATAGCGAAAAGGCTGAATTAAAATGACAAACATGTGGGAACTGCATCGGCCAGCCATTGTGGATAACAATGAGTGACCAAAACACACGCCACTTCAAAATCCAACGGAACAAAGTAGGCCAAGAGGAGCCCAATTCAGCACATGCTGCTCGTTTCCTTATTGACCCGAGGACCTTGTCCTTTTCTGAAAGCATGCCACATGTTCTGGTTTATCATTGCAGCTGGGTAATATATCCCAGACAACAGCTTGGCGAAAGCTTTACAGCAATCATTTACCCCTGTCATTCTGTGCATGGACTTGCACTCCTTCCCCACAGACACATACCCTACATTAATTCCCATGAATCTCCTCTCAGTTCTCATAAATCCTTGTGGGCATTTTAGAATCAACTTACTGACCCGCAAGGCACTTATCAGCCTTGACCCGCAAGGCACTCAGGTCAGTTTTGACCCCAGTCATATTTCCACTATATCAACACCGTACACTTCTGATGACTGGGAACATCCCTACTGGAAGCCAGGCACTCCACAGCTTCCCTTGTGAATATCAGGAAAAAACGGATATCCTAGTGACACACTAAGGTAAAACATTTTTTACTTGCAAGGCACTTTGCAATAATTCAGCAGGACAGAGGATTTGCAAGATCCTGCGAAATAGCAACGTGACAAAAGCATTTTGATTTATTTTCAAATCAACGTCATGGGAAGGAGTATTAATACTGTACCTCCCCGCCTTATGGATGGATTAACAAAGTCCCGGTGGCACATAAGTTATCACAGCCCACTTGACCCCCATCTGGTTATGAATACCTTGGTTTCCAGGCAGACCCAGAAAGAGGCTTACTGTAGCCATCAAGCAATACCCTTTGTTGCAATAAGGAACACAAAGCTAAAGAACCATGGCGAAGGGTCCAAACACATATGCAGGGGCTGGCATGAGGTTAGAGATGTAAGATGGAAGCAACAGGCACACACATGCAGCTCCACTCAGCTGAAAAACAAGGAATGACTTACTCTCCATCATCAGACACACTAGCTCTGTGGCTGTATCTACAAAACCAAACAAAAAAAACAGATGAAGGTCACAAAACGGTGAAGAAACCACACAAACCAGCGAAGACAGTACATCAATCCTTAAGGGAACATTTAGCACATGTTAAAAAACATTTTTCTTTTAACCGGACATGACAAAAACATGACCAAATCGGATAAACATCTTTAGAGCAGGAAAGGGTAACATGCAAGTCTGAACTCCATGAAATCAGAAAAGCTTTAAACAGTTGAAGTCTAGTGATGGTACTCTAGCACATGGATTGCTTACTGGAGGGAATCAATTTTCTCTAATGCATTCTTCCAAACACAACAGTGCAATAACAGCTGTATGTTTGTCATAATGAATTGGTTAGTCCACTAGAACAACTTAACTGTTTGCAAGAACATGAATTCTCAATTTCATGAATGATTAAATCTTGATCAGATGATCAGGCTACTACAACTTCAGGAAAAGCACATTATAAACCTCTTTAACATCTGTAATGCAACATCATGGTGGCTGTTTTTTCCACTTTCGCGGTCAAGCGTGACAACGAAAGGGGATTGCACAACCTGAATGCCACACCTCAGGAATGTGGGAAGAAGGAGTTAGTCTTCCCTGAAAATAACAGACGGTTTTTATCTTCTAATCTGTCTGCAAGGGGTGACGGCATAAATCCTGGATCACACAAAGCCAAAGAGAAATCTCTTTTCTAGCAGTGAGGGCCTGATACTGATGTAATAACCAAACAGTCTAACCTGCAGAGGATTTATAATTTATAGCTCTTAACTGAACATACCATCTGCTGGAAGATGGATAGCAGCATTAAAGAAACCTGACAACAGCAGTTAATGCAAAAAGCAAATGCATAATATATAACTACACAAAAATGCAAAACATTACATAGTGAAATGCAGCTGTATATCAGATGTGTTATGTTCACTATGGTGTGATATACTGCAACATGACAGTCTTAATACAGCACTACTGCTTTTTATTTTCTGGAGGTTCTAAGAAGGTTTACGTGCCTAGTATGAGGATATTATGTGCACTGCAACAAAAAATCATGGCTTGGAGAGACAAAAAATAAATAGCAAGAGGTAAACAAGACAGGAATGCTTTTGCCCATTTTTAAATGGTGGCTAGCTGGGAAAGAATAAAGACACACTGGAGGACAGGCTTCATGCACAATCTCATTAGGGAAAGTCTCGGCAGGTTTGGTTTCTTCTCTTCACCTGCAATACATGCTTCAAAAGAGTCAAGTCAACTCAGTCGAGAACCGAACACGGGTTCCATGCAGCGAGCATATGAGAGTCGAGTTGGAGGAGTCGGTTTGGTCATGGTTTAGTTCCTTCACAGGGACAGGACTGGTGTGAGACAAGGTTGATATTCCTCAATCATCGGTAACCCATGCAAGAGACAGGACATCACTAGGAGATGTGCCGCTACGGTATTTGGCAAGAATGCGTTGGTAGGAAACCGAACTTTGGAGTTGCCTGTCTACGTCAATGCTAAAGAAACAGCATGGGGATTTGTCACATGCGAGATTAAGAGAAAAACATGCGCGTTCTCCTCCAGGAATGTGGACACAGAAAACCAAAAACAGAATCCATTCTGATAGTGTTTCAAGGAGAGATCCGGGAAACATCTTCATTTAGCAAAGAAGAGTCATGCAGGTTCTGTCGCACCAGTCCACGTATATATCCAGAAAAGCATCACTGTACCATGTTACCATCACAATACTCAACAGGAGTCCCGTTTTGAATGAGATTTCACTTATTCAATTATTTTAAAATCAAGACATGTACAGTAGCAGGTGGTTTGAATGAATCTCTCTGGAAATCGGACAAATGCTGGTTTTAGCATCTACATCCCAGACTGAGAAACAGAGAGCACCAAAAGGCTAAATTCACCTTCAGAGCCTACTCGTAGTGCGGAGCAGTACTTATCATGTTTATTAAGTGACGACTAGCAGGTATTTACAACTACATGAAATTCAAAGGTCCCGATATGTTGGCTGACCTAGCCGCTTTCTTCAAAAGCTAGAATTTCTGGAAAGAAGATGGCCATAGAGCAGGAAAAAAAAAAACTTCCACTAGGGGACGATACAAAAACTTAAGACAAACGTCTTTATCAAGGCTCAGGGTGCCTCGTTAGAGATCATAGGAAGCTCACATTGGCGGCAGGTCATCGTCTAACCAAGACGGCCTTCTGCTTGGTTTGCCTTCATCGGCGTCAGCCTTCAGAGCCCTTGCCTGGGGAGAGGCAGGGACAGGGGCGAAGTGATCTGGCATCAGGGCTGCTTGTTTGGGGGAGCCAGGAGAAGGCTCGGTTGGGTTTTCTTTCCCTGGGTCCGAACAGCTGTCTTTTCCCAACTCCTCCTCACTTCCCTGGGGGGCCTTCCAGGGAGCTTCGGGGCTCTCCTTGGGAACGGCGCATGCCCCGCTGGCGGCTGGCGGCTGGCGGCAGAGTTCCGCTGAACACGACGGGCCGGAGCTACTGCTGAGAAAACGGCGCAGTTATACACCGGGGGTCAGGAGGGGAAAAGGCGCGAGAGGTACAAGACAAAAACGGAAAAGAAAAGACCAAACCTGACCACCTTACTTCCTCTTCCTGCAAAAAAACAACAACCAATACATCGAATGTTTTAAATGTATGAGGGATTAAGGACCAACTTCCCACAATTCCTACATCCTCCCCCACAAAAACAGGGAATGTAGACAACGTAGCCTGAGGAGGAACTGGAAGTTGCAAGCTATGCTGACATCTCTCAGCAGGCAGCGGTCCAAGAGAGTCCAAGTTTGTGGATTACTCACAAACAACTTCTACCTCAGAACACAGTATTGTTTAAAACTGACATGGGACATGAAAACAAGGGTGGAAACACATATAATCAATATATTGTGCTGCAACCACTGTTACAAGACCTTTAACAAAAATGGTTTGCACAAAGTGTAAATAAAAGTGCAAATGACAATTCATTCTTGCATCATGCAGAAGGAGTACTCTGGACATGCAGTAGCTTGCCTATAGTGACATTTTCCACTCCTGACAATCCCCCACAATACTAAGAGCAACAGCCTTCATGTCAACATAGTATAATAAAGCTTATGCCTACAACTCAGAAAAGGATAAAGCACAGTTAATCCTGAAGAAACTTTCATTTTGGGGTATAGGAGACCATTTGCTTTTAAAATGCACACAGAGTCAAGCAGTCAAGATTTAAAAACATACAGAATGCAGAACAACCCATAACCACAAAACACCTCGATTCCCAAACCTAGGAAACCTGAGAAGATTCATCCTGCAGGTCACAGGAATCAGGGACTCAAAGTGTTTAGATGCAAGATCACCGCCTCCTTTTGAAACCCCAGTATCTGTCGCCCTCCCCATCACTATCCTTGAAAAGAAACTGGAACCTAGAAAGAGAAGCCGAAGCTTTCCAGCAGCGAGTCCTCAGCGGACTTCACTATGCTTTATAACCGGGGTTCTCAAAACGGGTACTGGAGATCCACAAAACTACAGTTCCAACACTCAAACATGTTGGAGGTAGCCTTCTAACTACTGCGTTTTGCAAGTACAAAAAAAAATTCCCAATCAAGCAACTTGGTAGTTCAATTAAGTCTTCAAAATAGGTAATGTAGTTGGGAAGAATGAAAACCAGCAGGTGCATAAAAGCCGACAGCATGGAAGTAACCAAACCAGTGGAGTGGAGGGGAAGGGGAAGGTTGAAAGGAAGATTTCTATTTTAAACCAAGCAAAAGGGTCTGGTGTTCTTAAATGGATGCCACGGTAGCCCAGATTTTAAAGTCTTTATATTTTCAAATTAGCTTCACAGAAACAGAATTTAAGCTGTTTCAGTAAAGCAAAGCATAACACAAACTAGTAACCCTACTGTGCGTACTCGCAAAGCGTCAATATTTCATTGGTCAGGAAATTACCAATTTTCAGATTTTATTAATCAGTTAAGTACAGAACACTGGTCCACAAATGTTGATATGAGCATGCAATTAGTCATGGGTTAGAAGTATGTAATCACAAATCATTTTGAATGCTCCTCAAACCAGGCAATTTGTATTCAATACAGTGAAAAAACACCATTGTTCCATACACAAAACCTAGTCCAATTATAAATTCTCCACTACATTTCAACACAATGCATCCAGCTGTGAAGATAGCCTTTTTGTTATTATCAAGCTCTTCATCTGCAAACCTGGGGTTTGAAAGCAGGAAGGAACCTTTGAAAGGAGATGAGTTTAATAAAAATAATCCACTCAAAACACATTACAGGTAATGGGAACTCCTCTCCACCACCACCAATGTGCAGCCCCCACCTGGATGATGCAACGGCAGCCATAGTGCGCCAGAACACTCACCACACACCAGCTATCAGTGGGGAGGAGAACAGAGTAATGAAGCCAATTCATAGATGGGGATTATTAGGAGCCCATGATTAGTAAAGGCCAGGGCAAAATTTGGCCAGGACACCGGGGTAACAACCCTACTCTTCTCAAGAAATGCCCTGAGATTTTAAATGACCACAGAGTCAGGACCTCAGTTTTACATCTCATCCGAAGCACAGCGCCTTTGTACAGTATGGTTTCCCTATCTCCACACTGGGGCATTACTGGTGGATGAGCGCCCCCATCTGGTTCCACTACCACCTCTTCCAGCAACAACCTTAGTTCTTCCCAGGAGGTCTCCCATCCAGGTACTGACCAGGCTCACACCTGCTGAGCTTCAGTGGGCTGCCAGCTGTGAGTTGTAGGGAGAGTTTCTGGCTGCTGGTTTTAGTTTATTGCAAACAGGAATCATGCCTGATCGAAGACACACTTTCAGACTGTTAGGAGTCAAGCAGAACTAAGTTCTAAAATCCGCATGTTAGAATCAAGTACAAGTCCTTAGGAAGAGGAGGTGCAGAGTCTGTCCCACCTCTGCTCATTGCTCCCTCTTACAGGCTCGGACGGGCTGTCCTTTTTGTGCAGCAGGGAGCCCGGCAGGGGCAGGAACTTGTTAAAGGACGCCGGGCTGCCGGTCTTCTGAAAGACCCCTGTTCTCCGCGCCATCATGTCGTCTTTCTCAGGGTTGGGCTGCCTGTCCCTCTCTTCTGCTGCTGCCGCTGCTGCTGCTGCTTCTTCTTCTTCTTCACAGGCAGGTTCCACAGGTCCCACCCCTGCAGCGCGCTCGGACCCTGGGTCAGGGGCGCCTGACTTTGCGGAGTTGCTGTAGCCCGAACCCGGCAGCCAGCACAACACCAGCCGAAGAGAGAACGAAAACAGGGTGACGATGCAGAACAAAAGCCAGGCGCCGCTACTGTAACTGCATATTCTTCCCTATTCGCAAAGCTCCAGAGTATCCAGAAACGCCACAAAGTGGTCATGCGTTGCTATAGCAAAAAAAAGACTCGTTCCCAGCTTTCTAGATCGCACGTTTCTAAAATGTCCAACCACTGCAGTAATCTAAAAAACATTGCAAACTCGGGTATAAAATTATGAAGACCTTGCTAAACAGAATTTGGCATTTAACGTGTTGTAGAACACCTCAGTTTCATTTAGGGTTAATTTGACTGAAAAAAAATCATGTAATATACGTGATACAAAAGAGCAACTATAAGGCGAACTTTCACAAAAAAAAAATAAAACAAAACAAACAAAAGGCTGGCACAGATCTATGTTTCTGTGACCAGGGAGTCCAGGTATTCCACAAATACTTGCTAAGAGCTTAGACAAGTGATTTTGCATAACCTTTCAGCCCAAAGAGAAAATAACAAAAGACACTCGAGTTTAACTCTTTTCTAATCCAAAAAAAATGAAAAGAATCCATATTTTTATATTCTCCGCACTAAGCCGAGTGGGGAAAAAAAAAGATCCAATTTTTGAGAATTTTGGTATTTGGTACAAGAGGCAAAAGCTCAAGGAATCTAAAATGCTTCAGGGAATGGATCGTAAGGAAAACTTGGAATTCAATCTCCCCTGGGAGTCAGCATTTACCACAATATGACATTGGTGACAATTCTTTGGCCACAAGGCTTTTCTAAAACCCTCGGGGACAGCCACTCTTGAGAGTCCAAATGGCGCGTGTCCTGCTCCGCGCCTGTCCTGCGCCTCAGCAAGTGCGTACCTGTCATCTCCTGGAAAGCCAAGTCCAATGGAGGGGGTTGCCACGGCGGCAGATGACAGTAGCCGACGCAGCATTTCCGACTCGCTCCTCACCCCCGGCTCGTCCTCATCATCGCCCGCCTTGGCGATGCAGAGCCGCTCCCAGCGTTCCTGATCTATCTCTGTCACCGGGCCAAAACGCACAAAGCGCGGCTGGCTGGCGCTAGCCTTTCTGTTTGCTCTGGCCCGGCGCGCAGCCAGGTCATCCAGCGCGGCCCTCTGGGCCTGGACGGTAGGGAGGGCCTTGTCAAGACAAGCCTGGCAAACTGGTTTGACAGCTTCCTCGCTGGACCAGGGGAAGAGAAGGAGCACAGGGGACAGCGTGTCAGACAGCACCGAGAGACGACGGACAAGGGGGCGGGGGGGGTTAGCTTCCTTTGGCAGGATGTCTGACACCACACAATAAAGCGCTCCAGCATTACGAACGGCTACTGTGCGGACAGACACAGCAAAAGGGTTTGAGGAGGAGTTTTGTGAAAGACAAACAACTTAAAACTTAAGAGAAACAGCTCTTTCCTCACAGCTGAAGCAAAGAGTGATGCACCTTTAACACCTCCGCTGGTGTTAGTGAACCATCCCTGACTAGCGTACAACCTGCTCCTCTCAATGTCCTAAGTTTATTGCTCCTGTTCTTGCCTACAACGTATATGGTTTCCATTTCTCTTTATAGAACAATGCGGTACATAAATATCCCATGAAGCTGTATATGTATCTAGAAAAACAATGGTCACAAAAAGGAAGCACCTGTCAACACCACCCCATTTTAAAAAGGCCCGCTGAGGAAAAAGCAGCAGCTGGGCCTTTCCTTTCTTCACAAGTTGCTCGACAAAATTGTCTGCCAGCGTGGGCTGGGACAAAACACTGCAGACGAGACATCCTCAGTCGAGGAACAGCAGCTAATGCAGCAGAAAATGACAGAACTCCCAGTCCCTCTCTCTGCAACAGCTTTGCAGCTCACAAACATAGACATCATGCTTTGATACACAGGTCATTCTGTCTTTAACCCTGAACGCACTCAGAATGTGAAGCAGAAGCACAATCATCTAGGATATAAGTCTGCAAATGTTTGCTTTCTACCCCAATACACAATTATAATTTGTATAATCACTGACTACTCCTGTTGCCAATCAGCTTTTGATTGCCAAAGCAGCAGACGGAATGGGCCACTATTTTCAGCAGTTAAGGTGACCATGACTGTCAGAGTGAATCATAATCATTTCTCAAAAACATTCTAATGGAACCGGACGGTTTGAGTAAAACCTGGACCGGATCAAACTTCCAGTGGATCCAGACGGTTTGAGTAAAACCTGGATGGGATCACACTTCCAGTGGATCCGGACGGTTAGAGTAAAACCCAACTAAGTTACTTTTTTCAGTAAGTTCATGGGATGGTTAATAAAAAGAATTATAGACCGCATTGGAGTTATCGGAAACTTTCAGGAAATCTTCAATGGAAAAGAAACAAGACCCACTGTGACATGTTCTAGTTTTCCAAAATAGATGTCCTTTTCAACTTACATTAGGTAAAACAGCAGTTGCTTACGTGCTTCAGTGTAAAGCCCCATCCTAAAATTGCTTAAAATAATTTTCTGTTTGTGAATTTCAGCTCTGGCGATAATTTCATCAATTTTACTGTCGTCCGCAATAACTGATAGTCTCTGGTCTTTTAAATGCACTGACATCTAATGTAAATTATATTTTCCAAAACCAGCTTAAAGGCCCACCTATTGCATTTCTCAATAGGCTCATCACATTGGCAGGCCTCGTTTCACACTCTGCTCAATTGCTTATTGGCACCAATGTCAGCAGTACCTTCACAGCCACCAGCAGCACAGTCTGCGAGCATGCTATCTGACCTGGTGTCTGTGCACAGTGTGAGCTTCTGCCACTTCTCCAGGTCAGACTGCGTAATGGAGGCCTTGACAATGGAGGCCTGGGGCTCTCTATGTGGCACTGGGCCCCTCAGGACCCTCCGCTTGGCCAGGTCATCTCTCTGGGCACTAGGTACTGGTGCCGGGCCTCCAGCTGGGTCTATCTGCTGCAGCTGGAGGCAGGGGTTCTCCCTCTCTAGAACCTGGGCTTCGCTCTCACTGAAGGGGCAATACGAATACACATTCACGAAGTGAAAGGTGGGAAATGAAACAAGGCCCAAGAGCTCTAGTCAAGTTGAAATTTCTTCATTTTGTAAAACAGAGGAGGGGAATAAGTGACACAGGTGAAAATATTATTTTACCCTCACCTTCTGAAAATGACACCATCCTGCCCACACATTAAATAAAGAACTTGGTGATGTCAAATCTCACCATTTCACAGAAAACCGATTATATGATTTTTTTGTCTCAAAGTCGTCCGACTATAGATATTCATTCTAATTTTCCGCTGCAATTAAAGACTGAGTTTTTGATTAAACTTGGAAAGATTTGCTACAGGGACCTTCCCTTTTGATTTTAGCTCAGATGACCCACAATGTGAAATATATACATTATGGGACAAGCAGGTTGTCTTTAACAAGTCACATGAATCTGCTCGGAATTTAAGAGGAATCAAGTGGGATGCTTGTGTTACCTTGTCAACTTGATCAATTTTCACATTTTCTTTTACCTCATCACAGCTTGTTTATCCTATCCCAAATTTCAAAAGAAAGTAATAAAATGCCTCAATCTACAAAGTCATCGGCTTTGCAAAATGCTGCCATAGTCACAAGAATGAAGGAAAACAGACATTACATGCTCTGAATCGCCCCCAGCTCCTCAACATTAGATATTTCAAGGTAGATATCACTTTAATGACATTAAAAATGAGATCTGTTGATAACAGATTCGAGTTGGTTGTCACAATGTAACTGTGCAGGACACTTACAAACTTCATGGGCAAATTCTGTATATTCCTGTGGTTACACTAAGAAGAGGCTCTGGAACTGTAGCACTTACATGCAAGTTTTTAGAGGCAATTTAAGCTCCCTGGGTATGAACTGCATTATGTCAAAGGCAAATTAATGGGACAGGCATCTAGTACTATTGTATTTAACTGGACAACACAACGTGACTCATTACTATGCTGGACACCAGGAAAGAACAGCCTTCAATACCAGAGCTCACAGTGAAACTAGGACAAACAGTACAGTATAGCCAGGGGAAAAATGTGAAGATTGTCAAACGAAAAGGGCATTTGTCTCTATAGTGGGTTACTAATGTTTTGCCACACAGTTTTATATCCATTAAAACAAAACTGTACTGCTGCATTTTGTTGTGTGCAATTACTTATTTTAATTCCCTGCATACGTTGGCAGAAAAAGTAAAAAAAAAAAAGTCTACCACACATCACATCAGGAGAGTTTTACGCTACCACGTGAAAAGCACTTCAGTTTAAGGGCAAAGATGGGGGCACCTGGTGTCTGTGCACAGTGTGAGCCTCTGCCATTTCTCCAGGTCAGACTGGGTAATGGAGGCCTTGACAAAGGCCTGGGGCTCTTTGTGTGGCACCGGGCCCCTCTGGGCTCTCCGCTTGGCCAGGTCATCTCTCTGGACATGGGGCGATGTGGCTGGACTCCCTGCCTCTCCCTCCGAGTCCCTGTGCTGCGGCGGGAGGAGAGCGTTTTCTCTCCGTGACAGGTCGTCCCCTGCCTCAGGAGCCCGGGCCTCGATCTCACTGAGCCCACGGCCAACAACACACGCGACAGTTACAAGGAAAGGGAAAAGGAGAGGGGAAAAAACAAAGACGTGGCAGGTGAGCTCAAAACGGAAAGGAACAACAGGAGAACAAAACACAAGGAACAGGAAAGGTGATGGGAAAGTCAGCTGCCAACTACAAGCTTACCACGACCTGCTCCAAAAACTGCAAACCAAGAACACTGGTTCATGGGGGATTTTAAATTAATTGCGATTTAGTGTTTCCCATAAAAAGAAAAGAAGGAGCCTTGCTCAGATTACAGATTGCCAGAAACAGCCCGGACACACGGCATAACTTCACTACAGAGTTTTAGCTGCAATGTGAAAAGCTTTCCATCTCTCAGCTTTCACACAACTACATGAAAGGGAATGGCTTTCACTGTACGAGCCTATAGGACGTGCGCATACATTTTGAATTTACTCGCTGATGCACAAGGCAGATACCAACTTGGCCACAACTGTCTCCAAAACAGCTCCATTTTCTCACAATCAATTATCCATTGGCTCTTACGGAGTAACAGAAACTTGCAGGCAGGAGGAATAGAAGGAATGGCTTCATGCTCCACACCTGGCTGCCCTTTGCTGCTGTCGGTCCAGCTGGACTTGCTGGCAGGCTCTTTTGATCCCTTCCCATTTCTCCTTGTCCTTCTCGGAGCACAGCTGTGGCAGAAACTGGTTGGGCTGGACTTTGGGCTTGAACTGGTTCATGCGGGCTCTCCTGGAGGCCAGGTCATCCTTCTCCACATCTGGGACCTTCCGCTGCTCCTCCTCCTCCTCCTCCTCCGAGTCCCAGGCCTTCTCCTCCTGGTGCTTCAGAAAGTCATTGTCCCGCCTCAGGATAATGTCAGGGGTGGGGGGCTTGGCTTCTTCACAGACTGGCTTTGGGCTAGCAGTGGTTGAGTTGAAAAGGCAAAATTGAAACCCGCAAACGTTGGGGGGGGATGCAACTCCAACTGCACGTGCGTACCGTTGAGTAACGAACCGTTTTACAAAGCAAGGCAAAACAAACAAAACCGTGCTTGTCAGTTGTCAATTTCTGACAAATGTTCACTGGCACCACATGCCACGAGAAAGAAAGGTGGGCTAGAAAATAATAAGCACTCCTCCAAATACATTAAAAAAAACAGGTTCACCTCAGGCAAAAGTTAAATCGCCACCATATCTCTGGTGCAAGTGATACAACCTGTCTGGGCAATATTTTAGTTCAATAAAATGAATGTGTTCAAATTTACAGCCATTCAAATATAATGCCAAGAACGGCACTGTCTAGACAAGAAAACCTCAGAGGAGTCACTGAGACCTGAAACTTACACCTCTCAAATGTAGACCACTGGAACTCCACTACACTTGCTCCTCTTCCAGCTGTTCTCGGACTATAACAAGCGCATTTCCACTGCTTGACAAAGGGGAGCTCCGTCCTTCAAGCCAGCCTAAATGTTTAAAACTGCAGATGCACCCTTGAGGTCATGCACAGTTATCAAAGCCTTTGCTACGGAACACCAAACTGGAAAATGCATGCATTTCTCAAAAAGCTCCTTGCGGACCAAGAAATTGCAATCCTGCTGGTAGTAGAGTTTGACACCGGTTGGAATTGTCTTTCTATCGAGCTCTCCTGCGGCTGGTCACGTGATCGTGGGGGGGAAAAACATTTCCAAACAGAAAGCAGTGCACCAATTCAAACCGTTAGAAGAGAAATAGTATTTTCCCCCCTTCTAGCTTAAGTGTTAAGCTGGAATTGCTTTATATTAAACTGGAACCAAGAGAAGAAACAAGAGTAAAATGATTTCAAGTTCAGTTTAGCCACACAGTGATAAATCCCCTGTCCAGGCTGCTAAGAAGAGCTCGAGGGATGAGACCATCAGGCACCCTCAGTAGTCTGGGCACAGGTGAATGCAAAGTGAACTTTTTTCTTCAGCTTGAAAGAGG